CCCCACAACAATTGTCGAGGATTTGGGGCCAGGAAGCTCTTTTGTCTTGCCTCTCTTTTACTAAATGTGTGTGTGTACACGTGGTGGGGGGCGGTTAGGGGGGCACAGTTCCTGCACTATATGTCACAGTTTCTCTCTTAATTCACTGTTCTAGAAGCCCCCTACCCACTCCTGACCCCTGGGTTGCTCCCCGCCCCCAGTTCCTACTTCTACAGCCCCAGTCAGGGCTTGGTTTGTGTGGCATATGCAGAGGGTGCAGGAACACAGCACCTTGAGGAGACCCTACAGCTGGGGAGCAGTTCATCACCCATTGGTAACTTTTTATTTTTAAAAAATATTTACTTATGGGTCCGGTGCCGTGGCTCATTTGGTTAATCCTCTGCCTGTGGCGCCAGCATCTCATATGGGCACCGGGTTCTAGTCCCGGTTGCTCCTTTTCCAGTCCAGCTCTCTGCTGTGGCCCAGGAAGGCAGTGGAGGATGGCCCAAGTGCTTGGGCTCCTGCACCCGCAAGGGAGACCAGGAAGAAGCACCTGGCTCCTGGCTTCGGATCGGCGCAGCACCGGCCGTAGCGGCCATTTGGGGAGTGAACCAATGGAAGGAAGACCTTTCTCTCTCTCTCTCTCTCACTGTCTATAATTCTACCTGTCAAATAAATTTAAAAAAATTAAAAAATTTATTTATTTGAAAGTTGGCATTAGAGAGAGAGGGGAGAGAGAATCTTCCACCCGCTGGTTCACTCTCCCAATGGCTGCAACAGCCATGGCGGCCCAGTCGAAGCCAGTAACCAGGGGCCAGGAGCGTCTCCCAGGTCTCCCACGTGGGTGACAGGGCCCAGAGACTTGGGCCGTCTTCCTGGCCTTTCAGCTTGGTTCCCTAGAGCAGTGCAGGTAGCACTGAGATGTCTCATTTCCTGCCTCTGTGCCCACCCAGCCTCACATCCTTACTGCTTCTTTAAAGTCACTGCTGAACTTTCTGCTTCCTGGAGGCCCACAGCCTGTGTGGGGCACACATGGCCTGAGGCCAGGGAGGGACCAGGTTTTAAGGCTGAGCTCACTGTGAGGGTTCCTGTAGGACCCAAGTCAGCACAGGCAAGGTCAGGAGGGCAGGTGTGAGTTCCTGCTCCAACACTTCCTGTTTGCCGAAGCTGCCTCAGTCTCCTTTAAAACAACAACAAGAAATTCAGTCATAGAAATATTCAAAAATATATACACAAAAGTAACACCCCATGTGCCCACCAGCCAGCTTCAATAATCATCAGCATTTGTCTAATCTTTTCTTCACCTATGCACACTCAAATACTCTTCCTAACCCCAACATTATTTTTATGTGAAAATTTTTATTGAGATAATTAATTGTACATCACATGCAGTTATAAGAAAAAGAAGAGTAATACCTCTTCCTTTCTCCAGTTTTCCAAATAATAACATTTTGCAAAACTACTATGCTGGCCGGCGGCGCGGCTCACTAGGCTAATCCTCCGCCTTTCGGCGCCGGCACACCAGGTTCTAGTCCCGGTTGGGGCGCCGGATTCTGTCCCGGTTGCCCCTCTTCCAGGCCAGCTCTCTGCTGTGACCAGGGAGTGCAGTGGAGGATGGCCCAAGTGCTTGGGCCCTACACCCCATGGGAGACCAGGATAAGTACCTGGCTCCTGCCATCAGATCAGCATGGTGCGCCGGCTGCAGCGCGCTGGCCACGGTGGCCATCAGAGGGTGAACCAATGGCAAAGGAAGACCTTTCTCTCTGTCTCTCTCTCTCTCTCACTGTCCACTCTGCCTGTCAAAAAAAAAACCAACAACAACAACAACAACAACAAAAAAACTCTACTATGCTATCACAGCTGTCAGCCACACAATAGATAGACCAATAATATTTGCATTTCAGTTTTGACTCCTGTGTGTATGTTTGTGTTTTTATCAGCACAGTAAATGACCATCTCGACACCTAAGGGTCCCTGATGTCGCTCCTCTCTGACCACACCTAACTTCCTTTCCATCAGCTCTGCACTTAAGTCCTACCTACCATCTGGCAACCACTCAATCTGCCTTCTTTCTAAACTTCCGTCATTTCTAAAAGGCTGTCTAGGGGGCTGGTGCTGTGGCACAGTAGGCTAAGTAAGCCTCCACCTGCAGTGCCAGCATCCCAGAGGGGTACCAGTTCCCGTTCTGGCTGCTCCTCTTCCAGTCCAGCTCTCTGCTGTGGCCCGGGAAAGCAGTGGAAGATGGCCCAAGTGCTTGGGCCCCTGCACCCACGTGGGAGACCCAGAAGCTCCTGGCTCCTGATCGGCCCAGCTCCGGCTGTTGCAGCCATTTGGAGAGTGAGCCAGCAGATGGAAGACCTTTCATTCTTTCTCTCCTCTCTCTGTAACTACTTCTCAATAAATACTTTTTAAAGGGTTGTCTAAATGGAATCATACAGTATGTAACCTTCGGGATTGGTTATTCTCACTCAGCATTAATCACTTGTTCACTCATCTAAGTTGTTGTATCAGTCATCTGTTCCTTTTTATTGCTGAGTATTAGTCTACGGTACAGAACATGCGTGGTTTAGCCATTTTCCCACTGAGGGACATTCAGGTGGTTTCCAGGTTTTGTTTTTATGAATAAAGTTGCTATGAGTATTTGTGTGCAGGTATTTAAGTGCTCAGAGGTATGGAATTTAGGGACAACATTTTGGGTGCCAAGAGTACTCACCAAATCTCACTGTTTCAAAGGGCTTTTCAGGGGACAGAATTATAATATGGGTAGTTTTTTCTTTTTTTTTTTTTTTTTTTTTTTTTTTTACAGGCAGAGTGGACAGTGAGAGAGAGAGAGAGGTCTTCCTTTGCCGTTGGTTCACCCTCCAATGGCTGCCGCAGCCAGCGCGCTGTGGCCAACACACCGCGCTGATCCAAAGCCAGGAGCCAGGTGCTTATCCTGGTCTCCCATGGGGTGCAGGGCCCAAGCACCTGGGCCATCCTCCACTGCACTCCCTGGCCACAGCAGAGAGCTGGCCTGGAAGAGGGGCAACCGGGACAGAATCTGGCGCCCTGACCGGGACTAGAACCCGGTGTGCCGGTGCCGCAAGGCGGAGGATTAGCCTAGTGAGCCGCGGCGCCGGCCAATATAGGTAGTTTTAACTTAAGGCAAAACACACCATGAATTCATCTAGATTTCTATCCAAATGTAAGACTACAGAGATTTTACATATTAACTTTACATCTCCATCTCCTTTACCAAAATAACATCAACACTATCTTTTTTTTTTTTTTTTTTAATTTGTTCATTTCAAAGACAGAGTTACAGAGAGGGAGAGGCAGAGGCAGAGAGAGGTCTTCCATCCGCTGGTTCACTCCCCAAATGGCCGCAACAGTTGGAGGTGAGCTGATCTGAAGCCAGGAGCCAGAAGTTTCTTCTGGGACTTCCTCATGGGTGCAGGGGCCCAAGGACTTGGGCCATCTTCTGCTTTCCTAGGCCATAGCAGAGAGCTGCATCAGAAGTGGGGCAGCTGGGACTTGAACCGGCACCCATATAGGATGTTGGCACTGCAGGTGGCGGATTTACCTGCTATGCCACAGTGCTGGCCCCTAAAAATTAGTTTTAGTTTCAGAAGAGTTCTCTTCTGTGTAATTATACCATCAACTGTGTAGTTATACCATCAACTAGATACACTTTTAGGTTAGTTTCACTCTGGTTTCTAGAGAATTTCAGAATTTTTATCATTTACAATCATATAAAATACATACATTTCCAAAGCCAAATATCCAAAATATAATGAGACATCTAGCCTCTCCTCTCTTCGTTCTTTCCTCATAAAAGTCATCATTAAAACGTAGACATATTTCGTTTAAAAAAAGTAAGTATATTTGTTTATCCACCCCCTTTTACGATTGAATAGGGGAGATAATGGACATATTTAAAAGTCTGAGAGGCACAGGGACAGAGAGCTGCCTTGTGCCAGTCCACTCCTCAAACGTCCACAGCGGCCAGGACTGGGCCTGGCCACGGTGGGCTCAGGGGACCCCATCCTGCTCACCCCGGGGGTGGCAGGGGCCCAGCAACTTGAGCCATCACCAGCAGCCTCTCAAAGGCGCACCTCTGCGGGAAGCTGGAATCCGAGCAGGGATCAGGGCATCCCGTCCCAGCGTCTTAAACAGACCCCCGACATTTTCATATTCCTTATTTTTAGAGGCTTTTAGAAATTGAGGTCCTCCTTTATTTAAAACACACAAAAAACTGCACTCAGCGAAGAGATTTGTTTTATTTATTTATTTATTTTTTTGGACAGGCAGAGTGGACAGTGAGAGAGAGAGAGACAGAGAGAAAGGTCTTCCTTTTTGCCGTTGGTTCACCCTCCAATGGCCGCCGCGGCCGGCGCGCTGCGGCCGGCGCACCGCGCTGATCCGATGGCAGGAGCCAGGAGCCAGGTGCTTCTCCTGGTCTCCCATGGGGTGCAGGGCCCAAGCACTTGGGCCATCCTCCACTGCACTCCCTGGCCACAGCAGAGGGCTGGCCTGGAAGAGGGGCAACCGGGACAGAATCCGGCGCCCCAACCGGGACTAGAACCCGGTGTGCCGGCGCCGCTAGGCGGAGGATTAGCCTAGTGAGCCGCGGCGCCGGCCAAGATTTGTTTTTAAAATAGATGAACACTTTAGGGAATTCTCGAAGGAGAAAAAAAAAAAAAAAATCCCGGGAGAGCGCCCGGGGCTGGCGGCAGCGAGCCCCGCCCCGCGCGTACAGGGAAGCTCCGGTCCCAAACCAGAGGCCACGGGACACCGGGAGATGCCGTGGGGCGGTCGAGAAGCGGAAGCACTAGATCGTTAGGTTAAAGCTGCCCCACGTGGATCCCCAACAGGGAGGGCTGACACACTCGGCCCTCCTCAGAAGCCGGGAGAAGGGAGCAACCGGCAAAGAACGCCGCGAAGGAGAAATGGCCCAGATGAGGACCCGTAGGGCTTCTACTCGGCTCCGCTCGAAGCCCCGACTTGGCGGAAGCTGGGGGGCGGGACAACGGAAGTGACGATTGGCAGCGCCGTAGGGTGGGCGGGGCGCGCCCGCTCCGGTGGTGGAGCGCTAACGGTTTCCGGCTGCCGTGCCGGGGAGGGGAGGGGGAAGCGCAGGGGCGAGGCTGTGTGCTCGTGACCCTTGGCCCGTGCGCCCCCCTGCACCCCCGCAGTTACTCCGACATGCTGGGCTGTGGGGAGTCAGAGCTGGAGTCGGTGGAAGGGGATGAAGCCGTGGTGGCCCCAGGACTGCCCCCAGAACCCCGGGCCCCGGAGCCGCGAGCCCCACTACCGGAGCCCGGCCTGGATCTGAGCCTGAGTCCGCGTCCGGAGAGCCCCGAGCCGCGCAGCGGCAGCCCCAGACGGCCGAAGGGGCAGGCGGAGCGGCGGGGCGGGGCTCGGAGGGGGCGGCAGGTGAGCGGCGGGAGCGCCCGGCCCCCGGCCCGCCGCCGGGCCCGCGCCCACCCCTTCACGGCCCCGCTCTCCGCTTCCAGGTCCGGTTCCGCCTGGCGCCGCCCTCCCCGGCCCGGCCCGAGGCGCCGCGGGAGCTCGAGCACCCCGCGCTGCACAGCAGCCTGGCCCTGGGCCTCGAGCTGCGGGCCGCGCGCGCTGCGGCGGGGGCTCAGTTCGACGCCGCGAAGGCCGTGGAGGAACAGCTGAGGAAGTCGTTCCGGCTCCGCTGCGGTGTGGAGGACAGCGTGAGCGAGGGTGAGGGGCGCAGGCGGCCGGCCGGGGCCGGGGCCGGGAGCAGGCGGCCCGCGCTCCGCTTACCGTCGGCCCTCCTGCGCACCCAGGCTTGAACGTGCCGCGCTCCAGGCGGCTCTTCCGGGACCTGGTGAGCCTGCAGGTGCCGGAGGAGCAGGTTCTGAACGCCGCCCTCAGGGAGAAGCTGGCGCTCCTGCCGCCCCAGGCTCGAGTGCCGCCCCCAAAGGTGGGCTTTCCCCCCAGTGCCCTCCCCCCCACCGCGGCAAATCCCCCCGGCCCCTCCTCCCCGAGTGTGAGCCTGCCTCGGACCCCAACTTCCAACAGGAGCCTCCGGGGCCAGGGCCAGACATGACCATTTTGTGCGACCCAGAGACGCTGGTCTACGAAGCTCCACACCTGCCCCTGGACGGGCTGCCCCCGCTCCGCCTTCAGCCCCGGCGCCGCCCTCCGGAAGACACCTTCCTCATGCATCGGACGCTCAGGCGATGGGAGGCTTAGTCCGAGGACCCGGGCTGCTGGGTCCTGTTTTTGTGTTGCTATTTTTTCAGAATAAAGTTGTTTGGCTAACAAATGGGACGCTTCAGATGGGGCCGAAGTCCCTCCAGGGCTTTGTCCACTTAGCTCCAGCTTGGAAGCTCCTGGGGAGTTTTGGGCCCTCATGTTTAGGACCTTGGTTAAGTGATGTCAAGCGAAAAACACTGCCAGTCAGGGGCCTAGATGCTGTACCTCCCCTCGCCTCACCATTATTTCAGAAATGTGGGTCCCAGCCCATTAGGCTCCCGATTATCTGCCTCAAGAGGCGTGCAGGGGGCACCAGCGCTGTGGCAATTAACGTGGTGCTGGTGTCCACATACGTGCCGGTTCGTGTCCTGGTTACTCCTCTTCCAATCCTGCTGCTAAGGCCTGGGAAAGCAGCGGAAGCGGCCCAAGTCCTTGGGCCCCTGCACCCATGTAGGAGACCCAGAAGAAGCTCCTGGCTTCAGATCAGCCCAGCTCTGCCTGTTGCCACCATCTGGGGTGTGAACCAGCAGATGGAAGACCCCTCTCCCTGCCTGTAACTCTTAAATAAATAAATCCTTGAAAGAAAAAACAGACCAAAAGGCGGCATGCAGGTAGCTACTTGCACTCACACTGAAAGCATCTCCTTGCTTGTTACCTGTAAGGGCCTTGCCCAGCTAATGTGCACCTGACCCAAGGACGTTTGGTACTGGCTGAGTCAGTGTTCGGTACTGGCTGAGTCAGTGTTCAAAGCTTGCAGTAACCTCTGACGTGCTTGCTGTTAAATGCCTGGGAGCTTACCCGAGGGCACACAAAAGGTGGTCATCCCAGAGCCAGTGAGTGGCTCTGGTGCAAGGTCCTTTTTCTACCACCACTCAGCTCCAGGTCAGCCTTCTGCACCAAGTTCCCCCACAAAAAAACGGGTCAATCAGGTTTTTCAGAGAAGCCGGACTCGTTTGCCGTCTCACATCAAAGCCTGCATCAGCCGTCTCTTCCCGACAGGACTCTGTGTACTTACCTGCAGGAGGATCTCTGCAGCACAGGTCCTGCTGGGAGGTGCCATCTGTCCCACCAGGTAGAAAGTGCTGGACACAGGTGTGGGGGCCACTGCCCTAGACATCAAGTTTATTGTGCTGTTCTCACATTCAAAATCCAACCCCCTCTTCCCACTGGGGGACAGCGGAGGGAGGATCTTCACAGTACCTGCGTGCCTCCCTGCAAGCTTCCCCGTCTGACCCTCAGACCGCCTATCCGTGGTCCACTGAAATGCAGCTAGGGACACAGGCCGAGGAGAAATGGGCTTCTCCTTGGGAGAATGGGAGGAAAGGGCTTGAGACCTGACACCCCACACCTCCCACCCCCTGGGAGAACAGAGGTAAGCAAACAGTCCATGCCATCCAGTCCAGCAGGCTGGGGGAGAGGAAGATGGCAGCTCCAGCACGGCCGGGCTTGCTGCTCAGGTGCCGGAGGTGTAGGGAGGAGGCTGGGGCAGCAACATAAGAAAAGCTTTCTTTGCAGATCCAAGAGAGGAAATTATTTTTGGAGTCAGAAAAGAAAGACCTCGGGCTACTTTCCTCTGCCCCCAGGTCCTTAAGAGCAGCGAGGGCAGCCTCTTCACATGTTGTGTTCAGGGGCCACTTAGTGGCTGGGGGCATGGGCCTTGTGGAACAGGTACACCGGACGCTGGAAGCCTGAGGAGAGAGAATGTAATCAGGAGGGGCTCTCCGCAGGGTCTGTACCCTCAGCCCAACTAGCCTCCCCCAACAGGACAAGCCAGCCTTACCTTTGGAGGTGTTGTGGGGGGTTGCCACCAGCTCATAGCTGGAGAAGCCCACCTCTGGGGAAGTCAGGTAGGAACTGAACTGCTCTGGCTTCAGCTGGATTCGGTAGTAGTTCTTGTAGGTGGTCTCCTAGAAACAAAGGCGGGGGACCCCTTCAGCCTGCTGCTTCCTACCCTGACCACGAGGCCCACCCGGGGAACTTTTCTGCTGCTTCGCGGCCTTTCTTGCCTCAGAGAAAGGGTTATTCCCTATTCCCACAGAAACCCTGCTCACCGTCAGAGTCTTTCTCTTGTTGTAGGATGACCAGGGCTGGGGCTCCAGGACCAGGATGCCCCCGGGGCGCAGGTGCCTGTAGATCCGGCGGAACATGCGCTTCAGCCCCTCGTCTCCCCAGTTGAGCTGCACCCACTTGGTGAGGCTGAGGCAGAGCACCACGTCATACTCTGCTTTCTGGGCTTCCACCAGCTCGTCTCGATCCAGCACGTAGTTCCCCTGAGGGCAGAATTGGGGGGAGGTCAGCAGAGGCATGAAGGGAGCCACTGCCCCACACAGCCCTCTGCAGCCAGGTTCTCCCACACTCCCAACGGGGCCCATGGAGCCTCCTTTTCCCCCTTTCCACCTTCCTGTCCCTGCTTCCTCCTGGTGCTAAACCAAACCAGCACAAGAAGGGAGATGGGGTCAGGCTGAGTTGAGCAAACTCTCCATGAGATCTTTCAAGCTGGGGTCAAAGTGCAGAGAGAACGCAGGGCTTCTCCCAAGACCCTGTCCTGTGCTGATTCCCACTCACGAATGATTCAACATGCAGGGGCACCTAAGCCAGGTTTCAAACAACACAAACCCCTGTGGTTCCTTCCTCCTAGTTGGGGCTGGCAACGTTTCAGGCCTATTTTTTCCTTTCTCTGAAATGAAGAGCCACACCCCTTAGGAAACTTTTTCTAGATAAGCTATTCACTGCCCTCTGCAAAGCCCATTCTTCAGGCTTAACTCAACCTACTGCCAAGTATTCCTGCAGATGGCCTAAAGTTTTTGATGGGGAGCAACACTCGCCAGGCATGGTCCAGTCCCGTGTAGGACTATGCTCTCCCTCTATCTAGGGTCAACATGGAGAAGAGGTAAAAGCCAAGTTGCTTGGGATCCTGACCACTGACAATCTTTAACCAACTCTACCTGGAGAAACAAAAAACAGCTGTTGTGGCAGTTAAGCCACCTCCTGCGGTGCTGGCATTCCATTCGCTGGTTGGAGTCCCAGCTGCTCCACTTCCAATCCACCTCCCTGCTAGTGCACCTGGGAAAGCAGCTGAATATGGCTCCCGTGCTTGGGCCCCTGCTACCTACACCCAAATGAAGCTCCTGGCTTTGGCCTGACGAAGCCCCAGCCGTTGCAGCCCCTGGGGGGGGGGGGGGAGGGCAGAGGGACCAGCGAATGGAAGATCTTTCTCTCTGCCTTTCAAATAAATAAATAAATCTTGGGGAAAAAAAAAAGGCAGCAGTTGCAAACAAGGTCCCAAGTGAAAGACAGAAACTATAAATATTAGCCTGCTACTGACCTCATCTCCCCCCAAGGCACTCCACGTCCGACACCCACCCCTCACACTGCTTCAGCAGGGCTGAGGTTCCATCTTAACAGAGTCTCCTAAGGATCAGCAGTGGCCCTCAAGGGAAGGTGGACTAGTCTGGATTAGCCCAGACCAGGCCAGGCACACAGCACTCCGTCAATCTCTCTCAGGCAAGAGATCTTCCAGTCTTGAGAAAGGACCCCGGGGTTAAAGACCCAAGGTAGAGGCCCCAACTGCTCCTTGCGGGAGACACACCCAAGGGAGAGTACAGACCCTAGAGAATCTGCTTCTCCTATCAAGGACTGAATGCGCGGAAATCTCACGGGGGGAGGGTCAAAACCTGCCCCTGCCACATTTAAGCTCATCTTCATACGTGGCCTCTACTCCAAGAGTCGCTCAGATCCTCTTACCGTGACGAAGACGACATTGTTGGGGAAGACGGATGAATCCGCTCCATCCAAGGGCACTTGGGGTGCAGCGATGGGACCCCGGCTGGCTGTCAGCGAGGCTGGGAAGTAGCCCCTCTTCCGGACGGTGGTAGTCCCTTCCTTCCCCTCTGCCCCGGGGTCTCCCTCCGAAGTCTGGGTTGGGAGCCGCAGCTCCTCGGACAGGTAGTGTCGGATGTTCTGGCGGGCAGAGTGGATGAGCTGGGAGTCGATATCCAGGCCCACCATGCGCGAGGGGCCCCACTTGCAGGCAATGCTCAGGGTCAGATGGCCCACGTTGCAGCCCAGGTCTAGGACGTCCCGGCCGCGAAACCACTCGGGCTTCAACACACGAAGGCGGCCGTCCTCACAGGAAGGATTGCGGTACCCATAGTACTCGCAATAATTCCCATACTGGAACTTGCGCTGCTGCTTTTTAAACGCTGCCGCAGGTGGCGGGTGGTGGCGGCCTCCCCAGCTCCCGCGGCCCCTCTCCTTAGGACCCTGGCCTCCACCCCTAGCCCCGGCCTCAGACTTGCTGGAAGTCCTGCGCCGTTTGCGATGCCGGGAGGAGGAAGACGAGGGTGCAGAGGTAACTGAGGCAGCGGGAGGGGCCGGAAGGGAGCCTGAGGGGCCCTGCAGGGCGGACGGAAGGGGAGACACGACCTCATCCCTGCAGTTGATGGCTGTGTTGAGTTCATAGGGCTGGGGGGCATCCCGGTTCTGGCCCCTCGGGCGCTGCTGCTGCGCGGCGCCCTCCCCGTGGAGTGAGGGGGTGAGGGGGGCGGTGGGCGGCACGGAGTGGCTGTCACTCCCTCCACCCGCCGCCGCCTGCTGCTGCTGCTGCTGGTGGTGCTGTCCCCGGTGTCTGTGCCGTTTCCGACCAGTCTTGAGCGGCGAAGCAAGAACTACTTGAGCCTCATCAGTGCAAGTGTTGAGACTGAGCGGGTCAGTGATATCTTTGGGGATGAGGATCTCCACTGGATCTCGGCCCTTGGCGGGCAGTGGGGATGACTTAGGGGTCTCCGCATTGAGTGCGCGGCTCACTTCCTCATCCAAAAGGCTATTGAGGTTCAGCGGATCGAAGATGTTGCCCCCGAGGAGGAAGTTGGAGGGCAACACGGAGTCACAGTCCGAATTTACCCGCCGGCGCCTCTTGAACGCCGGGTGCTTGAAGCCCCCACCGCCGCCCCCGACGTGGCAGCTGTTTCTCCTCTTGCCCCCGCCGCCCCCAGGGGGCCGGTGGGGCTGGTAGCCATTACGCGGCCGAGGAGGGGCAGGGGGGCCCAGCTCCGTCCCGCCCCCTCCCCGGCGCTCCTCCCCCACATCCGGGGGAGCGGCTCGCCCGTGGGGATCCGACACGCGGGCCTCCCCGTGCGGCTGCGCCCGGGGGCCGCCCTGAGGGGTGGCGGCGGCGCCGGGGCTCCCGCTGCCGGCTGCCGAGGCAGGGGCGTCCGCGGAGCGCGCGCTCCGGCCCGGGCCGCGCTCCGGCTCGCCGCGGGGCTCCCCGGAGGCGGCCTCTCGGGGTGGTGGCACCGTGGGGCCGCCCCCTCCGCCCGACTCCTCTTTGAGCGGCGGCGGCGGGGCCGGCACCAGAAACGGCTCCTTCTCCGCCGCCATCTCGATCATTTCCTCCCCTTACTCCGTCCCACTCGAGGGTAACGAGGTGGGGATCGGGGGCTTAGCCCCCCGCCCCCGCCTGGCTAGACCCCGCTCCCTTCCCCCTCCCGTTTCCCCGGGTGCGCGCGCAGCTCTGCTCGCCTCGCTGGGTCTCGCGCCCAAGCGCCTCCTCCCCCCCACCCTGAAGCGCGCCCCACTCGCCCGCGAGACCAAAACAAGATGCCCGCGAGACCCGAACAACTCGAGGAATCAACCGCGCGTGCGCCGACCCCTTTCTCCGCCACCACTACCGCTCGGCCGCGAGCGCGCACGGCGAGCGCGCGTTCCCCTAGCCCCGGGGCTACGCATGCGCACTCCGCCGCCACCCTGGCTGCGCGCGCATCGGAGTACGAACCCAACTTAACGGCTCCCCGAGTTTAAATATAGCCCCCCCTCCTCGGCCCTCCCCCAGAAGCCCACCACCCCAAACTGACACCCTACTTCCCTACTGATATCCTTTGTCTCTGCCGCGCGACCCCACCCACCGAAGGCGGGGGACGGGGAGCTGGTGTGAAAAGGTCTCCTTGACACCCGACCCTTGTTCCTGAGGAATGAGTCTCAGCGGTCTCCGCCCGGCTCTAAACCCAACAACCTCCCTACCCCGCCTCCTTCCTCCCCCTAGCGGGCAGCGCCTGCGCACACGCTTTTGGGCTTGCGCGGGTCGAGGTAGCACGTGCTGGGCCGACGCCCCACCCCCGGCCTAGGGGCGGGGCCTGTACGTCGCTCCCTCAGGGTCGGCGCACGCAGCGTGCGTCAGCGCGACTCGGGCTCGGGGGCGGGCCTCATGAATTATTCACGAGTGCGCGCGCGCGCTCCTGGGCCCCGCTTTGCCCACCTGGTTAAGAGCTGAGCGCGCTGAGGGGGTGAATTGAGGAGTCGCGGAAGGGGAGAATGGGAGGCGCCCTGACCGTCCTCAGTACAATTCGATAGGTCATGTGAACTCACCCCCCTCGAAAATAACGCTCTGCTGAACTGGAAAAAAACAAAAAAAGGCACTAAGGAGAGCCGGTGTTGTTCAACTTCCTCTTCCCCTGAAATGGCTGAGTCGTTCTTTGGCTCCTCGGCGTTTGCCCCAATCGCGATCACCTGGGCACACCACGCCTTCCTGTCCGCCTCCACACCCACGGCCCTGACACCAAGTCCTCCGCCCGCCACACGGCGGCTGCGCGCGAGACCGCGGGCCCGCGGGGCCCCTCGCAGCCGCCGTGGCCGCCGCCAGCTCGCAAGCAGGCCTTCCCGGACGCACTCCGAGGCTTCGCGCCGCCTTATATAAAAGCGGGTGTGGGCGGGGAAGACGATTCGGCCCCTCTTTGGACTTCCAGCTTCGGCCAATGAGGAATGGAGCCGTTTCCCCAGGGTGATGGGTAGCTCGGTCTCCTTGCCAACAGGGAGAAAAGAAAGGGCTTCGGAGGCGGGAGTGGGTTTCAGGAGGATGTCAAATCCTAAAAAAATAACGGCTGGGAAGAAGAATAATGGGAGCACGAGAGAAGGCAGGGGAACGCAGAGGTAAAACAGTCAGCAAGAGATGTGTTTCAGGAACAATCAGGCGCTGCCGCCGCCTCCTAAACAAAGTGACGCCTGCGGGGATTGTGGGATTTGTAGTTCTCCCGGCTCGTTCGGGCGAAGAGGGCGGGGACGGCCTCAGTTGCGCCGGCGCACAAGCGGCTTTATCTGCGCATGCGCCTTGGAGGTGGGCGCACGCCGCTGAGGGGCGGAGCTCGCGCGAGTCCTCGCGCCTCTTCTTGGTGGCGGGAAAACGAGGTCGAGGTTGGGGAGGCTTTGCAGAATTGTCGCGGGTAGCTCGCTCTGGTCTTCGTCCCAGAAGGTAGCTGGCTCTTCCCCGGTTGCAGAGGAAGGGGTTGGGTGCGGCCTACCCTGGGACCTGTTGTCTGAGGAGAAGTTTTCTCTTCAGGACAACAAGGCGTTTTCACCCCCTCTCCTCAGAACCTCAAACCCCCAACTCCCCCTCAACCAAAAAAAAAAAAAAAAAAAAAAAACCCGGTCTCAGAGCGGGGGAGGCTCCGGCTGCCTCACTGGGGTGGGGGTGGGGTGGGGGGGCTGAGGGAGAGTTCGCTCCCGGGGCGGGGGGCGGGAAGCGGCACCTTTCCCCCTCGAGGCCATTCGAGTCCGGCTGTGCCTCAGAACTGGTGAGGGCAGAGCCCGCCACGAATTCTCCGAGATCAGAGCGTTCCGAGCCCTGGTTCCCCGTGCGGGGGCCAACGGGGCGGGGGCCTGGCGTTCGCGGGGGTGGCGGTGGGTGTGCTTCTGTAAGGGCAGCCGACGCCGTCCGAAGTCGGTAACCATCGGCACGTGTGGGAGCCCTTCCGGCCGGCGAGGGCACGGCTCTGAACGCGCGGTCAGCAGCCCCGACGGCCTCGGCTCGCGGCGGTGGGTGGGGGCCGCCGCGTCGTGCTCCTCGGCGGCCCGGGGGGACCGCGAAGCTTTGGTGCAGCATCGAGTTTCGTCGAGGTCGTCCCTTCCGTCGGCGATGTCTCGTTCTGGGCGGTCGGGGTGAACTGGGCTCCATTTTTGTGAAAGAGTTTTCACCGGCGCGAGGCTGCAAGAAAGGAGAGACACTACCAATTAGTTAATAGGGCAAGGAGATAAGCAGGAGGCCACCTGCCCTTTCACATTAGTAGCGAAAAAGGGGCTTTAAGGTAGGCTTTAAACACAAATTTTGGAGCCTCAGAGGCTGTGAAGAGAACAGTTCTGATGGGTTTAGTCCTGTTCGACCAAGGATTTGAGAAATAATGTAAAGATGGGATAGTTAGGAGGGGGAGGTTTGCGAGCATACTCTAAATGTGTGTTTTTGCGGATTAACTTGTTTCGCCAAATCATTTTTCAGACTTTTTGGTCTGAGAATCCATTTGTGCTCTTAGAATGTATGGAGGACGCCAAAGAGCTTTTATGTGGCTTATATCCGTTAATTTTGTAAAAAAGTTTATTTGAGAGGCGGAGTCACAGAGAGGCAGAGAGAGGAGGGAGGTCTTCATTTCCCAGATGGCCGCAGCAGACGGGGCTGTGCTGATCTGAAGCCAGGAGCTTCTTCTGGGAGCAGGGGCCCAAGGACTTGGGCCATCCTCCACTGCTTTCCCAGGCCATAACAGAGAGCTGGATTGGAAGTGCAGCGGCCAGGACTCGAACCAGCACCCATATGGGAGGCTGGCAGTGCAAGCAGTGGCTTTACCCGCCTTGGCACAGCGCCAGCCTCTCTGTAAAGATAGTAAAAATTAAAAGGATAGAAAATATAAACTATTTAGAAGTAATAATGGTCAACCTAATTGTTTTTTAGAGGTTTATTTACCTGAAGGAGTTGCAGAAAGAGTGAGAGACAGATCTTCCATCCACTGGTTCACTCCCCAAATGGCCTCATTGTCCAGGGCTGAGCCCAGCCCAAGTCCAGGATCCAGAAGCTGCCTCTGGGTCTCCTTTGTGGGTGCAGGGACCCAAGCACCCGGGCTATCCTCCGCTGCTTTTCCCAGGCCATTAGCAGAGAGCTAGATGGGAAGTGGAGCAGCTGGGACTCGAACTAGCATCCATATGGGATGCCAGCCTTGTGGGTGGCTGCTTAACTCCCTACACTACAATGCAGGCCTCTCCGTGTTAACTTTTTTTTGTTTTATAAAAAACTACATTTTCCTAAACAAAATTTAGTGTGAAGAATGGTGGTGCTTTATGTTTTTGCAATTCTTTTTTCATGTCTTAATAGAAAACAGCTGGATTCTCATCGGTTTATTTAACCTGTTGTAATATATTGTTTTGATAGAAGTACAAGGATATGAGAAAATCCAACTGAAGGTAGTTGGAAAAGTGAGGGGACTTCTAAGGCATTGGGGACCATACTTTGAGAACTGCTGGGCTATGTGATTTCATCTCAAAGTTAATGTGATTATTTTTAGTGTTCTAAGTGAAGAAAAACTTTATTTTTCTGAGATCTTCATTCACCTACTCTTGGTACTCTATAATTTTTTTCCCTAAGTTTTTCCCTGCTTACTCACCTTTCTCACATTGACTTAAGTGGGATCTGGTTTGTGGAACCCTCCTAGTTCTTTCACTTTCTTACCTAAAGCCCGTGTGTGTGTGTGTGTGTGTGTGTAATCAAAGTTAAGAAAAAGAGAAATTCAAATCTCCAATATCATTCCTGAGTGTAGAGCCATAGTCAATCAGTGTCGCTGTTCAAAAGAAAATTGGTGGTCTATATTTACTGTCAGCTTTCAGTATTTATTATTATGGAAGAAGGAAATTCATCTGAAATGGTTTCAGCATTGACTTATCCAAAGGTGACTTCCAGGTATTCTGTTTTCAGAGCTTTTGTTTAAAAGCAGTATTCTTTGTCACACTCCTACCTTGGATTAAGGGGAACTGTTATACATCCCTGCTTATAGATTTTATGTATTTTATTAATTTATTAATGATCCATAATTATATCAAGTAGGTTGGGATTCCAGAAACACTCTTTGGTTTAGGAAGGTCTGAATAGGTAATGAAGTGGACCTAAATATTATAAGAGTTTTTGTTTTTAGGTTGGTCAAAGCACCCTTAATTTAATGAATGCGAAAATGAAAAAGGATGTTTTGAAGTGGTTATATATGTATCTTATAAAATACTAGGGTTGATGTTGTACAGTGGGTTAAACAACTGCTTGGGATGCCTGTGCCCACATTCCTAGTTTGGAGAACCTGGGATTGAGTTCTAGCTTGTCTGTTTCTGATCCAATTTGCAGCTAACGTGCCTGGGAGGCAGTAGAGTATGGTCCAAGTACTTGGGTTCTTGTCTCCCAAGTAGGAGACTTGGATAGAGCTCCTGACTCCTGGCTTTGGTTTGGCCCAGCCCCACCTGTTCAAGCATTTGGGGAGTTAACCAATGGACAGTGAGAGAGACAGAGACAAAGGTCTTCCTTCCGTTGGTTCACTCCCCAAATGGCCACTATGGCCGGCGCTGCGCCAATCAGGAGCCAGGAGCCAGGTGCTTCTTCCTGGTCTCCCTTACGGGTGCAGGAGCCCAAGCACTTGGGCCATCCTCCACTGCCTTCCCAGGCCACAGCAGAGAGCTGGACTGGAAGAGGAGCAACCGGGACTAGAACCCGGCGCCCATATGGGATGCCAGTGCTGCAGGCAGAGGATTAACCAGGTGAGCCACGGCGCCGGCCCCCATAATTTTTAAAATAAATAAATAGGTACCAGTATTGTGGTGCAGTAGATTAAGCCACTGCTTATGATACCAGCATCCCGTATCAGAGTGCCTATTTGAGTCCTAGCTGCTCTGCTTCTGATCCAGTTCTCTGCTCATGTTCCTGGAAAGCAGTGGATGATGGGCCAAGTATTTGGCCCCTGCCACCACCGTGGCTGACCTGAATGGAGTTCCAGGCTCCTGGCTTTGGCCTGGCTCAGTCATAGCCTTTGTAGCCATTGGGTAGTGAAACAACAGATGGAAGATCTCTCTCTCTCTCCCTCTCTGTCACTGTGTCTTTCAGATAAATTTTTCAAATAAAATGTCAAAGATACATGAAGGAGTACAGTGGAAAACTTCCTTCTTCCCCCTTCTCCCCAGTTATCCCCTCCAGAGGCATTCTTCCAGATGTAATTTATGGATATGCAAGTATATGATATAGACATACATTTTTGAAAGCCAAGTGTCATCTCAAACACACTAATTTTCATTCTGCTTTTCTCACTTGGCATAACCCTTCTTGTGATTTAGATTACTTTTATAGGGACTTTTTATGATCTTTTTTTGGAATTCTGGAGTCTGGGAGAAGATGTATTTGTCATTTGTGGTCAAGTTATTATTCCTTTTGCAGTCTAATTTTATACCAGCTTCTTTTTTCAATTATAATAGACATTTGCTTCAGTGTGTCTCCTCTAAATTCCCACTTGCCTTTATTTTCTTGAGCAAATTTGTTTAGGGGGATAATGGTGATAAGACAAAAACAGATAATGTGCTCCTTAATGTAAATGAACAGTAGTTACTTGCTTTAGCATGTCTGAATTCACAGAAGTAAGAATAGGAACAGAAAGATATCAAGGGGTAATTAAAAAAAAAATCCATTAAATGAATAGTTACAGAGAGAGATGGAGAGACAGTTATCTTCCATCTGCTGGTTCACTCCCCAGATGGCCACAATGTCCAGGGCTGGGCCATGCTGAAGCCAGGAGCTCCATCTGGGTCTCCCAGATGAGTGGCAGGGGCCCAGGAACTTGGGCAGTCCTCCACTGCTTTCCCAGATACATTAGCAGTTAACTGGATTGGAAGTGGAGCAGCTAGGATGTGAACTGGCACTCATATGGGATGCCAGCTGTATGCCATGACTTAATCTGCTACACCATAGCACCAGCCCCAAAAATCTAATTGTAAACCGCCATTCTGGGCCACATTCACTCAAACCCCCAATACCTTTTGAGTTCGTTTTGAAATTTAGAGAACCCTATACTTTGATAAGCGTGACCATTTGAGGCTCTTAAAATTTTCAGATCTTGGGATTGGCATTGTGGGGTTGCAGGCAAAGCTGCTGCCTGCAACACCATTATCCCTTATGGGTGCCAGTTGTGTCATGGCTGCTGCACTTTGAATCCAGCTCCCTGCTAATGGGCTTAGGAATGCAGCAAAAGATGGCCAGAGTACTTGGCCTCTGGCACCCACATGGGAGACCTGGGTGGAGATCCAGGCTCCTGGTTTCGGCCTGGCCTTGCTCCAGCTATTACAGCCATCTGAGGAGTGAACCAGCAGATGGAAGATGGGGTCTCTCTGTCTATCTCTCTCCCTGTATTCTGCTTTTCAAATAAATAAATCCCCCCCCCCCTGCTTCTCCTTCTCTCTCTGTGTAACTTTTTTTTTTTTTTTAATATTTGGAAGAGTCAGAGAGAAGGAGAGGCGGGGGGGGGGGGGTCTTCCACCCACTGGTTCACTCCCCAGATGGCCACAATGGCCAGAGCTGCACTGATCCAAAGCCAGGAGCCAGGAGCTTCTTCCAGGTCTCCCATGCGGGTGCAGGGGCCCAAGGACTTGGGCTATCTTCTGCTGCTTTCCCAGGCCATAGCAGAGAGCTGGATCAGAAGTGGAGTAGCCTAGTCTTGAACCGGCGCCCATATGGGATGCTGGCGCTTCAGGCCAGGGTTTTAACCCGCTGCACCACAGTGCCAGCCCCCTCTGTGTAACTCTGACTTTCAAATAAATAAATCTTTTTAAAAAATAGGCATATATTCTCTTAGCTTAAAGAAAACTGGGTAGAAGAGGCTGTAAGAAGTTTAGGTTGATAAGGTAATTTTCTTTTCACAGTGGGGTAGAAATAATATGTACATTAATGTATGTTTTAAAAAAACTTTTTTCCAATTATTTATTTGAAAGGCAGAGAGAGCTACAGATAAAGAACATTACCATCCATTGGTTCACTCTCCAAATGGCTATAATGGTTGAGGATGGGCCAGACTGAAGCCCAGAGCTAGAATTTCCATCTGCGTGTCTTCAAGTGGCTGACAGGGAGCCAACTACCTGCATCATTACTTGGTACCTCCCAGGGTGTACATCCAGAAGCCAGACTTGAACCCAGGCACTTTAATATGGGGTGATTGTGTCTCAACCCAGTTTCTGAATGCTTACCCATTCAATTTGTGCTTTTAATGTATGCTATCTGTGTGCTATGACATTAAAATGGTGGTGAAGCATGGATTAGAATGTAGCAAAGCACAAACTTTGAAATCAGTTTCTAATCCTGATTTTACTATTTATATATCAATTAGCTCTAAATACCATTAAGCCTCAATTTCCCCAAATATAAAATGCTATCTCATAGATCTGTTATGAGAGTTAAATGGGTTGATACATGTAAAGGGTAAAGAATACAGTCAGTGCTCAATATGTTAGCCATTATCATTAGTCAAAATAACGGTAATGATAAGTGTATTGATGGTATAGAAAGTCTGAGTAGATTGCTAAGATGAACTGACAACCAAAGAGGGTGCTAAGTTCTCATTACTGGATTCTAAGGTAAAAGGTTCTCAGTTCTCTGAGGACCTCTGCTGGTTACCAAATATTTCTGGGTTGTGCATGGAGATTGGTAGAATCTAGTATATTGGCAAACTTATTGGACTGCAGATCTAAGTAAAGAGAAAATAAGCATGATTATGATGTTAAAAAGGGGTTTCTCTATGCATAGGGAACTGTGAATTAGGTCAGATAGCTATCACTTACTTGTATTTAAGTTTCTAGGAGAACCTTATGAAAGGAACTTATCCCTATAAAGAAAAACTCTCACTTCTTAATACCCAGGATTGTCTGTACTAGCCTACCACTACCTACACTTCTGTTACTACCACTGGCAGATCCACCTAATTATGAGTATCAGTCTTACGTTGGACATGGTTCTAGGCACTTATAACACTAACTATCATTGCCTATCGTTAAAAGAGTAACTTTCATTGTTTCCTAGCCTGTGATTGACACTGTTGAGGAGGTAGAAGTGTTGTCAAGAAAGCAGAAATACAGTTCAGGGCCTCAGGCATAAAGTTATTGAATCCAAGAGGACAGAGAAGAGAGTTTAAAATCATATTTGATCAGTCATAGCAGTTGATTTCTTTTTCCTAACAGAGGCAAAGACAGTTTAGTTTCTGAGCTGAATGATGGCAGCAGTGCAGAATAAAGAAGGTGAGTTAAGAGTAAGGGAGGTTTGCTCCGTACATTGCTTCTATCTTACCCTTCTGGAGTCCTTTACAACAGAGGGCAGTTCAGTTCACATATATTTGGTGTCCTCTCCATTCAAATTACAGCTCTGTTAGATGCTTTGAGCAAAATAAATCTGACATAGAAACAGTCATGCGCAAAGAATGTATGAACTCATAGGGAGAGAAAAGACATTTGAATACCTGTGACAAAAGTTGGATATGGCAAATGCCCCAGAGGAGTGTTCAGTATTATGGAAGCTAAGCAGAAACTAGCAAAATCTACAAGTTATTGAAGGTTCATCTCTTATGCTATTATTACTTTTGGCAAGAATAGTGTACTTTCCATGGAAGAGGTAGCATGAGAGCTGAACCTTGACTAGCTTAGCGATTTTGGTAGTTTTCTTTTGTTAAGAAAATTGTTCTAATTTTTCATAAAACTGTATCCAAAATTTAAATAAACACATTTGAAAAATACTACATTCGAATAATTCGGCTTCCTCTATGCTTTTATTTTTTTGCCTTTGAATTACTCAGTACTTACCAAAACTGGCAGTATATCAGAATCAACTGGTCATATAAAATGACAGATTTCTGGACCTCACTCCAAACTACTTCATCAGAATACCAGGGCTGGGGGTTGGATAGATGGGGAAAGAGCTAGGAATCTGAGTTTGTTAAAAGTTCTCTCCATAGAATTCTGATGTGGTCAGCCAACGGGCAATGTTTATTAGTTGCTGTTAGACTTTATGTTTGATAAATCCCATTTGATGGTCAAATTTCTTTCAGAATGTGGAAAGGGACCAAAGAAAACCTTTGCCCCACCTATACAAAAATTACATTTCCTGAAACCTTGTGGTCCTAAGGCACCAAAAGAAGAGGCCCTGGGGCCTAGTTCCCCAGAAGCAGAGGCCAGGCCAAGCCTGCCAAAGGCCAGGTTAGAGATGAATGAAGAGAAAACCACCACAGAGAATGGCCCAAGCAGTGGCCAGGAAAAAAAAGGAAAGCCTCAAGACAACAAGCAAAACAAGCAAGCAGAGAAGAAAGAAAAGGTATCAGTCACACTGATGGGCTCTGTAGCACAGCTCCCTCTTGCTTGCCCTGACCAAGGCTAGACAAACGGAATCGTTTCATGTTGGGGAAATCCATTCTGTGGCTTCAGATTTTTTGTTCCTTTTCTGGAGCATCTGTTTTCTTCTCAATGAGGTAAAACATGTTTTTGATGAAATCATTTAGCAGAAAACAATGGGATGAGGTGGGATGGAGTTGGCCTAGACGTGGACAAAGACTTTATAAACTTGGTTCCTTGACTCCTTGTGGCACTTGTGGTCTTTTTCACATGTGTTGACTTCTTGCATTTAGTCTTGTGGATTTATTGTCTTATCTAAAGGGAAGAGTGGGAAGATAAGCAGTTTTCTTCTTCTTACTCTTGTCTCTGCAGGGAAGATCAAGTCTTACCAATGCAGAATTTGAGGAGATTGTCCAGACTGTGCTCCGGAAGGCCCTGCAAGAGTGTGAGGGTATGGCTTGTATGAAAGCAAAGGGGTTTCAGTTAGGCCATGTGACTGTTACTGAGGGATAGAACAGGTTGAACAGCTTCTCCTCTTCCATCTTCCTAAGTGAGAAAATATTAGATGAGACTGAAGTATTTTGAAATACTTCATTTTCTATTCATAGGACTGTAGCTAAATCACCTTAGATAAAGGCTACAGAATTTTCAAAAAGTAGATTATATTTACTTCAGAATTTAAATATAGACTCATCTAAATTTTTCTAATGCATTTGAACATTCATTTCTACATGTTTGCCATCTTCTTAGGAAAAGTAAATTGTTTTCCTAAGATTTGAAGAACTTAGTCTCCCTTTAAAAAAAAATTTATTTGGAAGGCAGAGTTGCAGAAAGAGAGCTATAGAGATCTTCCATCCACTATCCAGATGGCCGCAACGGCTGGAGCTGCGCCGATCTGAAGCCAGGAGCCAGGAGCTTTTTCTGGGTCTCCCACACGGGTGTAGGGGCCCAAGCACTTGGACCATCTTCTACTGCGTTCCCAGGCCATAGCAGAGAGCTGGATTGGAAGTGGAGCAGCCAGGACTCAAATCAGTGCCCATATGGAATGCCGGCATGGCAGGCAGCAGCTTTACCTGCTATGCCACAGTGCTGGCCCTGCTTTATTCTTGTATATTTCTGTTTTTAACATTGTTCTTTAGTGTGCCCAGGGATTTGATTTTAGAATTAAGAATTTTGTAGTGTAGGCCTTGAGACCTCCATAGGGCATGAGATGAATGGATGGTCTTAGGTGTGCTGCTACTTTGAGTTCTGAGTTTGATGAACAAATAAAAAAAAAACACAGTACATACGATTTTTTTAGGTATACATTATCATATTATTCTGGAATGATGCAGATCAATCTGGAAAGGGTTGCATGAAAAAAAGAAATCTACAATTTTTCCCTGAAAATGTAAAAATTTAAAGTTAGGGGTCAGCACTGTTGTGCAGCAGGTGGGGTGCTGGCATCCCTTATGGGCGCTGGCCCAAGTCCCGGCTGCTTCTCTTCTGATCCAGCTCTGCTATAGCCCTGGAGAACAGTGGAAGATGACCCAGGTGCTTGGGCCACTGCAGCAGCATGAGAGACCTGGAAGAAGTTTCTGGCTCCTGGCTTCGGATTGGCTCAGCTCTGGCTGTTGCTGTTATTTGGAGAGTGAGCCAGCAGATAGAAGACTTCTCTCTCACTACTTCTGCCGCTGCCTCTCTATAACTCTTCCTTTCAAATCAATCAATCTTTTAAAAAAATTAAAGTTGTATATGTGGTAGGCATTTGATGGCAGTGGTGCCACTTGGGATGTCCACATCCATATCAGAGTGCCTGGTTTGAGTTTCAACTCCTTTTCCAATTCCAGCTGCCTGTTCATGTGCACCCTGGGAGGCAGCAGGTAAGGGCTCAGGTGCTTGAGACCCTCCCCAACGTGTCCCAGCTTGAGTTCTGGTCTTCTGGCTTTTGCCTGGCTTAGCCCTTGCTGCTGCAAGCATTTAAAGAGTAAACCAGTGGAGAGAAGATCTCTGTTTCTGTCTCTCTGCCTCTCAAATAAATAATAGTCTTCTAAATATTAAAAATAAAGTTCTATGGCATGACAAAAGGTCAAAGAAAAGCTCTTCCAGGCAAAAGGGAGCAGATATTGTAATGAAAACTCTAATTAGGGTATAGTGGAGTTACTGTTTTCTTGTATTGCTTCTCTGCTTATAGATTTTTTTGGGGGGGAAAGGGATAGGATCTGACTTTCATTTTTCAGAGTCTTCCTGTGCCCAGCTAGTAGTATGTACCCAATCAGACAAAGTGCCAGGAATCGTTGCTTCTACTGGTAATGATACTGCTGATGGGTAAGTTTATCCCAGTGAGGCAAGTGGAACACAGGGTGGACTTAACACTGGTTAATGATGATCCTTTCTGTGTGTATACTCATATGTCCTATTTCTATGCATTTTTCTCAGTTCAGGAAAGATACTGATTTAAGTTGGGGAAAAATAAAGAGATGGACAGAGTGATCTCAAGTGGTCTTAGAGAATCTTGGATTCTACTATATTTCTTTTAGCATTGGGTTCTTTCAAAAGAAGAGTATTAGAAATTACTCCTTTTTACCTTTTCATTAAAAATAAATCTCATTGCTCCTCTCTTCCTCTCGTCTGCTCTCCTCTCTTCCTCTTGTCTCTGCTCTCTCTTGCTTACTCTCTCTAGCCTCCTCTTCTCCCCTCTCATTCCCCTCTCTCTCCTCTCTCTTCTTTCTCTCTTACTCTCCCTTTCTCTCTTCGACCCTTCCCTCCAGTCTGCTTGGTTTTCCCCAATAAACCCTTTCCCTTAAAAAAAAAATCTCATTTTCCAAGAGAGGGTTATAATAATTCATACTCCAGAGATTTTAGCCCCTAGAGAAGATTAAGTTGGTCCCTGAGATGAGGGCGTCTAAGCCAAGTTGTATTCCTTTTACTGTTGGACTCTTTCAAAAGAATGGTACTGAAAATTGCTCATGTTTATCATTTCATTTTAAAAAATCTCATGTTTAGAGAGAGGATGATGGTAATTCATACTCCGGAGATTTCAGCCCCTCAGGAAGATGAAGTTGCTCCTGAGTCAAGGGCATCTAAGCGAGGCCAGCCAAATCCTGCACCATCTGAGAAGAAACTGAGTAGGCCGTGTTTAAGCAAAAGAAAGAAGGAAGCCCGTGAGTATAGATAGATATATGTTGATGCCTGACGTAAGTACTTAGTCCAGAAAATTAGGGGGATGGGATGGTAGGTATACTGAGAGTTTTAAATTCAAGACTTGAAACTACTAGGCTATGATTCTTATTTCTTCTTTATCCTCTGTTGTCTACAAACATTCTCTTGTTTATATCCCCATCCCACAACGTTCTCTTTTATATTCACAGAAGATGAGCAAGTGGAGAGAGTCCAAGGTGGACATGAGCACAGACAGAAAGACCAACCAAAGAAAATGATTCAAGACCTTTCTCAGATCAGGGGCAAGCAAAAAGAAGATAAAAGTGGTTTTGGTGAGTTCAGCTGTAGTTTGGAAAACTACTTGAGCTGAAAATTGTGATGGAAGAGAGAGGCAAGGGTTAAAATATTAGCAGAAACTACACAAAGACTATACTTGATGTCTCATAACTGCTTGTTAGAGGATATGCTATGGTCTGAGGAAGAGACAAATATTTTGATGTTCAGTTATCTATTCATATAATGCATAGTTGTCTGGTGCCTACTAAGTATCAGGCATTTTAGATGGTACCCAGGAACAAAACTAAAATACGAGAAAGAAGAAAAATTAGCATGTGTTATCACAGATGCCAGGGGAGGAGAGAATAAGAAAGGACTGCTTAGCTGTGCCAAATGCTATGGTAGTGGGTTAAACTTTGAACATGCTCAAGGATACCACAATTAGGAAGCCCTTAGGGTCTTGGTTGCAGCTACTGTTTTGATCAGCAAAGGTGAATGGTAGGTCATAGTTGATTGTTTGGAAAGTAAACACTTTTTCAGTTAGTTTGTATGTGAAAAGCAAGATGCATAAAAGGGAATATAGAATTGAGGGAAGGCATTTTGCTTTTTTTTTTTTATTAAAGATTTAATTTTTGTTTGAAAGGCAGAGAGAGAGGGAGAGACAGAGACAGATCTTCTTTCCTCTTGTTCACACCCAAATGCCTGCAGCAGCCAGGACTGGACCAAGCCGAAGCCCGGAGACAAATTCCATCTGGGTCTCCCATGTAGGCTATCATCCACTGCTTCCCAGGTATAGTAGCAGGAAGCTAGACTGGAAGTGTGGAGTAACTGGGACTTGAACCAGCACTCTGAATTGAGGAGCAAGTGTCCCAAGTTGTGGCTTAACCCACTGCACCACAACACCCATCTGGGATTTTTCTTTTAGAACTTTGTTTTTAAAAGAGAGAGCCTTGGGGCAGGCATAATGACAAATTTTTAAGCCACTGCTTGGGATGCTGTGTCCCACGTTGGATTGCTGGTTGAATCCCAGGGAATGCTGGTTTGAATTCCAGCTGGTCTGCTTTTTTTTTTTTTTTTTTTATTTAATTTTTTTAAATGCAGTTCCAAAATGCCTTGTGGCTTTCAGTCTTTTTTTTTTTTTTTTTTTTTTTTTTAAGATTTGTTCATTTATTTGGAAGTTAGAGTTACATTGAGAGAGACGGAGAGGCAGAAAGAGAGAGAGATGCCTTCTATCTGCTCTTTCACTCCCCAGTTCGCTGCAATGGCCAGAGCTGTGCTGATCTGAAGCCAGGAGCTTCCTCCAGGTGTCCCATGAAGGTGCAGGGGCCCAAGAACCTTCCACTGCTTTCCCAGGCCATAGCAGAGAGTTTGATTGGAAGTAGAGCAGCCGAGACTCCAGCTAGCACCCATATGGGATGCCAGCGCTGCAGGTGGCGGCTTTACCTGCTATGCTGCAGCACTGCCCCTTCCCTTTTAAGATTTATTTATTTATTTGAAAGACTTACACACAGAGAGAACTAGAGGCAGAGAGAGAGGGGGGGTCTTCCATCTGCTGTTTCACTCCCCAGTTGGCCACAATGGACAGAGCTGCACCAATCTGAAGCCAGGAGCTTCTTCCAAGTCTCCTGTGCAGGTGCAGGGGCCCAAGAACTTGGGCCATCCTCCACTGCTTTCCCAAGCTATAGCAGAGAACTGGATCAAAGTGGAGCAGCTGGTACTCTAACTGGCACCCATATGGGATGCTGGCACTGCAGGTAGTGGCCCTTGCTCTGCTTCATATTAATGCATCCAGCTTCATATTAATGCATCCTGGGAAACAGCAGATGATGGCCCAAGTGTTTGGAACCCTGTCACCTACATGTGAGACCCAGGTGGAGTTTTGAGTTTTGCATTTGCCCTGACTTAGGCCTGGCTCTTGAAAGTATTTGGGGAGTGTACCAACAGATGGAACACCCATAGCTCTCCCTCGCTCCCTCGCTCCCTCTCCCTCGCTCCCTCTCCCTCGCTCCCTCTCCCTCGCTCCCTCTCCCTCGCTCCCTCTCCCTCGCTCCCTCTCCCTCGCTCCCTCTCCCTCGCTCCCTCTCCCTCGCTCTCTCTCCCTCGCTCTCTCCCTCGCTCTCTCTCCCTCTCCCTCTCTCCCTCTCCTTCCTTCTCTCTCCCCTTCCCTTTTTCCCTACCCTTCTGCTTCCCCTCCTTCCTTCCCCTTTGTTGTTCTGTCTTTCAAGTAGATGAAAATAATAGATGTTTTAAAAAAAATTGGAAATAGAGCTCTGTATATATTTATTTACTCAGGGAAAATTATTTCTGAAAGGGAGAAATTGTAAAAGATGAGAATGGGAGATTTAGAAGAAGATTTATTCACCAAAAAGAAGGACATTGATATTGGATGGAGGAAGGTTAAGGATATGTATGGATTTATTTATTTGAGAAATTTCTTATCTATTGGTTCACTCCCCAAATGCCCACAAAGGCCAGGGCTGGGCTAGAGCTAGAGCTAGAGCCAGAGGCTGGAAATGCAGTTCAGGTCTCCCATGTGGATGGCAGGAACCCAATTACTTGAGCCTTCACTGCTGTCTCCTAGCACCTGCATTGGCAGGAAGCTGGAGTTAGGAGCCAGAGCCTGGCAATGAACCCAAGAACTCTGATATGGAACATAGGTGTCTTAATCATTAGGTGAAACACTTGCTCCTTTATTTTTTCAGCAACAGTTATTAGTTCCTTTATTATGTGCCAAGCATTGTACTAGGTGCTAGAAATATAGTAAAGAAAATATGTAACCTTCCTTCATAGAATTTATAGTTTCAGTGTGTTAGATAAGGAATATATGAAATAACCAAGATGACTTTGGGATATTTTATGGTATGAAATAAAGTAGATCATACAAGTACATTAGTGTGTTCAATACTAATAGGAAATAATCTTGGAGAAAACAGGCTTGCACAAAAACAAAAATAATATGAAAAATCAGACTAGAAGTATGAGAAACAGTGAAAAGACCAGGTTTTGTGTGTGTGTGTGTGTGTGTATGTGTATGTGTTTGTAGTTATTTAAGAGGCAGAGAGAGAGGCCTCACATCCTCTAGTCCACTCCTTGAATCCCTGGGGACCAAGAACTCAATCTATTACATGGGTGACAGGGACCTAACTACTTGAGTTATCACCTGCTACCTCCCAAGGCACTCTGATACGAGATGTGGGCATTCCAAGTAACATCTTAACTGCTGTACCAAATGTCAGTTTTGATTGTAGAATGAATAGTATGGTTTGCACATACTTGGAAGAAAATTATAGAAAAAAAATTCTTATGCAAATAAGATAGTGCATGTCTTTGAAGCATTCCTCTTGTTGTAATGACATGGTAACAAAAGCTGGAAGTATAAGTCTTAATTAGTACAGTCAGATGGTCTGAAGCTCAGATCACCCTAAGGGAGATTCTGAGTAGAATCAAGAACTAAATGGTTTTTTCTTTGGCTTTATGTGGCTATATGATCTCAGATGTGTCTGTTGAAAACTTTTGGAATACTGCAAACTCCATTGATTTAATTTCCAGTTTTATCGAATTGGTGTCATTCAATTGGTGTTGCTATATCTCCCATACTTCTCAGCATTCTTTTTCTAAGACTGGATTTTAGATAGGCAGATAAGGGTTTGCTCCCTAGGTGGTGCTTGTGAGTTGAATTGTGATTGTAGTGAATTTTTCTGTTTCCTGCTACAAATGAATCATTCTTCCTGTTTCTTAAAATTGCTAAGAGATCTTCCTGGAGTAGAAGTATAAAGAGGAATATCCAATGGATACAATTTGCATTAAATACCTTTAAGGAAAAGAACAGTCTAATGAGAGGAAATAGATTTCCTAAGTAAGATTGTGTAGGTCAGAGAATGCATCTCTAAGGAAATGATATTATCCAAATGAAAGTAGAGGAAGGAAGTTTAGGTGGGTAAAGTTCAGTATATTCCCAGTACTAAAAGAAAGCTGGTGTGAATGAAATTCAAAGAGCAAGGGGAGGCAAGATTGGGAAGTGGCTCTGGATAAATGGAAGTGCAGTGGGAAGCCACTCTGAAATCCATGAAAGCCAGGTGGGTTTTAGCTAGGGAGTGACATTCTCTAATGTTTAAAGGGACCCTTTGATGATTAATTGGAGATTGGAGGATGGGGAGAAGAGCAGACCAGTTAAGATGTTAATACTAGGATTAGGTATCTTGGTGCCTTGGATTAGGATTATGAAAGGGGAGAGAGACAAGTAGAATTTTTTTTCTTTTAGATTTATTTATTTATTTGAAAGGTGGAGCTACAGAGAGGCAGAGAGAGAGAGAAAGTCTTCAATCTGCTGGTTCACTCCCCAAATGGCTACAATGGCTGGAGCTAGGCTGATCTGAAGTCAGGAGCTTCTTCTGGGTCTCCCTTGCAGATGCAGGGGCCCAAGGACTTGGGCCATCTTCTACTGCTTTCCCAGAGTATAGCAGAGAGCTGTATTGGAAATGGAGCTGCTAGGACTCAAACTGGAGCCTGTATAGGTTGTCATCCCTCTGGGTGGCAGCTTTACCCATTATACCACAGTACCAGCCCCATAGAAGGTTATAAGATATATTTTGGAGATAAAAATGTCAGAACTTGGTAATGAATTAGATATTGGGTGGGGGGAGGTGAGTACAGGGAGGAGAGAATGTCAAAGATGGTTGACATCAGGCTTGAGCAGTTCCATGAAAGGAGGTGGGAAAAAGTAGAAGAACTAATCTGTGGGGTGAGATCAAGCTTTAGGTTTCAGACTTGTGTGTGACATCCAATTAGAGATGTCAAAAAGCTGTATGCCATCCGGGCTGGACTGAACATGGATTTCAGAGCTGTGGGAGTGGCTGAGCTTGCCTCAGGAGAAAGTGTGGTGTGAGGCTTTGGAGCCTCAATATTTAGAGATTAGGTGGAATACCCAGCAAAGGAATCTGAGGCAGGTGCTACCAGGAAGATGAGGCTGGGGCGGGGGCAGAAAAATGAGGCATTACAGAACCTAGGAAACTGGTATTTCCAGATTAAGTAGTTGATTCAAATGTCCTTAATGTGTCTGTGATATCGTCTTCATTATAGGCCACATGTGTGGACATCCAGCAGTTTTCCAGAGCACAGTGTCTTGTCCTGTGAGTTACTTGAAAGGAAACTAAAAAAGCCGCATGATTCTATCATTGGAAATTTCATTCTAAGCCATAAATATCCAGTTCCGTATCATTAGGGTGATTTTTCCCAACTCATTTTCTTAAAATTACTCATTACTTTCACAACCAGCCGTTGATTTTACTGATCTGTATGAACTTTATTTTTCCCCTTTAAGATTTAGTTATGTATTTGGAAGGCAGCACATGAGAGAAGAGAGGAGAGAGAGAATTTTTCATCGCTGGTTCACTCCCCAAATGGCCATAGCAACCAGGGCTGGGCAAGGTGAAAACCAGGAGCCTAAAACTCCATCCTTGTCTCCCATGTGGGTGGCAGGGGCCTGAGTACTTAGGCCATCATCCCTTGCTTTCCCAGGCACACTACGTGGGAGCTGGGTCAGAAGTGGAGTAGCTGGGACTTGAACTAGCAAGTATGGGATGCCAGCATCACAAGCAGCAGCTTAACCTGCTGTGCCCACAATATTGGCCTCTTCTAATTTTTCTTTTCTTCCTCCTTAAGATTGATTTGTATTGATTGTATTTATATTGTAATTGATCTGTATGAGCTTATAGTCTCTAGTCCTTTTTCCACTCTTTTTTTCTAAAAGTCTTACTAGGCCACCTCTATAATCAGCCAACACTGTCACTGGCAAATGTTCTTTCAGACTGATAGAGCATTGCCAACCAGTAGTTTGTTCTTTAAGATAAAGTAATTTAGAACCTGGCCCATAATATGTGATATTTTGAAAGGACCTGAATGTAAGTCACTTTTTTCTTCTGAGGGAAGATTTCAGTGGGTTGAGGACATTCTTTATTGGAGGGAAATTTAATGTAAAATTTGACAGTGGGAGGGTGAAATACTAGAGAAACATTGGTTGATGATGTTAGTTATGGTAACTGTGTGATATTGTGATAGTTATGTGCCTGGCTCTCTAAGAAGTGTCAACTGCATGAGTGTAAGCACTGGCAGGGAAGAGTGAATTGATTCCAGGTTTGTTTGCCACCTGGGTGGGCAAAGGACAGAGGGAAAGGGTGTTGAAGGTGTCTACAGATGAGCCTAAGAAAATGTTACAGAAGTGAAGCTGAGTAGTGTGCAAGGTGAAGAAGGCGAGGGTAGGAGGTGGACTGGAGAACCAGATAAAGTGGACGTTGGCAGTAAGTGAGGTGGGAGAATGGGGCATTTTTTATCAGAGTGGAGGTTTGGATGAGAGGCTCACAGGGTGCACATTTCCTGCAAATGACTGGGTAGGGCATGCACAAGTGGGTGTTGCTGGGTAGCCTGCAGGAAAAGGTTAAGGTTCTGTAGAAAGGAGGTGCTTTGTGAGGTATTCCTATGGAGGCAGTGGTCATCTGGAATAAAGGCAGGGTATGCAAAGGAGAAGACTGAACCAGATGCCAGCATCTTTACAAGGGAGTTGTGAAGGTGGTCAAGGCTCATGACACGGACCTTAAGGGGGGAAGAATTTTTGTAGGAGGAGGGGAGTAGTGGAATCAGGAAGTAAGAATGATGCTGGCCCCGCTTTCTGTCCTGAGACTCATTGAGGAGGGGGTCAAGAAAAGAGCTCAGAAAGCTGTGGTGTTTGTAGGTTTGTGGAATCTGTTAGGGGTAGTGTTCTTGGTGGGTCTCTAGGCTGCAAAAGGAAGGGAGAGGTTCAGTGAGGAGTCTGAGGATACATGGACATTTGTTGTTCAAGTCTGGAATTTCAGACGAGTTTGAGAGGGTGTGTAGGAAATGGGGTCAGCTTAGGAGATGTGAGGGTACAGAGTAGGGTTGGGAGTTTAGTAGGAAGTGAATTTGAGGAAGGCTTATTCTTCGAGCAGGTCTCAAAGTGAATTATTGATGGACAAACAGTAGACCTAGATCTGTGTCTTTTGGAGGAGGGTAATCCCACTGGTTGCAGCTTGGTGAATTTGCTCATCAGGATATGGATTAAGAACTCTAAATGCACACAAGAGATGCTTTAAAGAACTTCTCAGTAGTGTGTGCCAGCAGAGGACGAGACCCTATCTGAAAACCTGCCAGGCAACCTTTTTGTTTGAGAGCTGCAAATAGCAGAAACACTCCCTTTTGCCCGGTATAGGATAAAGATGGAGATGTGATACTTGAGTTTTTTTTTTTTTTTTTTAAGATTTATTTATTTATTTGAAAGTCAGTTTTACAGAGAGAGGAAGAGGCAGAGAGAGAGAGAGAGATAAGTCTTCCGTCCAATGGTTCACTCCCCAGATGGCCGCAATGGCTGGAGCTATACCAATCAGGAGCCAGGAGCTTCCTCCAGGTCTCCCATGGGGGTGCAGGGGCCCAAGGACTTGGGATATCTACTGCTTTCCCAGGCCATAGCAGAGAGCTGGACTGGAAGAGGAGCAGCCGGGACCAGAACTGGAGCCCATATGGGATGCCGGCACTTCAGGCCAGGGCATTAACCCACTGTGCCACAGCACCGGCCCCAAGACTTGAGTTTTAAGCTCAGCACTGTCACCAAGTTAAACTGATTTTCAGCAAGTCAGTTAATTTCTCTGAGCCTTTGTTTTCCTTGTAAATTAGGGGTTAGATTAGTTTCTATGGAGATGTGATTCTGGGTCGTGGGAAGTTTTTATTGATTATGATTGGATTGAAGAAGGAAAAGTATATTTATACGTCTCTTATTTCAGTCTTAAAATTTTATTGGCCGGCGCCGCGGCTCAATAGGCTAATCCTCCACCTTGCGGTGCCGGCACTCCAGGTTCTGGTCCCGGTCGGGGCACCGGATTCTGTCCCGGTTGCCCCTCTTCCAGGTCAGCTCTCTGCTGTGGCCTGCAAGTCCTTGGGCCCTGCACCCCATGGGAGACCAGGAGAAGCACCTGGCTCCTGCCATTGGATCAGCGCGGTGTGCCAGCCGCAGTGTGCCAGCCGCAGTGTGCCAGCTGTGGCGGCCATTGGAGGGTGAGCCAACGGCAAAGGAAGACCTTTCTCTCTTTCTCTCTCTCTCACTGTCCACTCTGCCTGTCAAAAAAATTTTTTTATTTATTTGAGAGTGAAAAAGGGAGGCTAAGGGGAAGATGGGGGGAGAGGAGAGAGCCCATCTACTGCCATGGTTGGGACTGGGCCGAAGCCAGGAACTGGGAACTCAGTCCAGGTCTCTGATGTGGGTGTCAGGAACCCAGTTACTTGAGCCATCACTGCTGTCTCCTAGGGTTTGCATTAGCAAGAAGCTGGAATCAGGAACCAGGGATAATTCAGGCATTCTGACCTAGGATGCAAGCATCTTAACCTGTGTCTGCACCGCTGAGCTGAATGCCTGCCCCTTATCTCAGTTTTTTTTCCCCCTGATACAGGTCAATATCTAGTTTGGGTCCAGTGTTCCTCTCCAAACTGTGAGAAATGGAGGAGGCTGCATGGGAATATCGACCCCTCAGTTCTTCCAGATAATTGGTCCTGTGATCAGAATACAGGTAGAAAAGGGTGGAAATGTTTTTGTCATGTTTTCTTGTTCCTCCCTGTTCTTTCCCTGCACATACCCTTTAGATTAACCGTGATGTAGGTGCAGTCAGCACTCTAGGGGTTCTTGTAAGTCACTGGGAGAAAGGAAGGATCTTGCGGTCATGTGGTAATGACTTGGGGCAGAGAGGGCTGGAGGAAGACAGCTGCAGTTCTGTTGTGAAGAGGGGCCTGGAGTCTAAAGGGCTGTGCTGAGCATGTCCATTTTCTGCAGCTTGGCTCTGATCCGGTCAATCTTGATTAGAATATTGGGGTGGGGTTGGTGGATAGGGAGGGATATAGACTATGTTGGGGAAAGGCAGGTGCAAGAGATCCTGTAAATCTAGGACTCCAGTATGTTTAAAACTACTTGTAAGAGATGATGATGATCTACTGCATCCTGATTATTTAACAGGAGAGAGAACAGTTCAGAGACACTATTCTCATGCTGTTCCTGGATGGAAGCAGAGTCAGGTGTGATGGGATGTTGGCAGGAGTTTGGGATCTCTTTCTGTGGACCATTTTCAGGCTGCTCTCTTCCTCCTGGCTGCAGTTGCATTCCCCCATTGGTCTTGATTCTTCCATTCTCCTTCCCCAGGCACCCCTTTGGCCCTAGACCAGTTCCTTCTTCCCTACATCCTCATCCGGATTTTTACCTTAGGAATCTCTTCCCACCCTTTCATTCCTTCTCTCTTTGGCAGACTTGAAGTATAATAGCTGTGATATTCCTGAGGAGACTTGGACGGGGTGTGAGAGTGAAGTGGCCTATGCCACCTACATTCCAGGATCCATCATCTGGGCTAAGCAGTATGGTTACCCCTGGTAGGGCACCATGATGACATAGAGTATCCTTGGTAGAGAGAGGGAGGGAAGGAAATGGAAAGCATGTGTGATGTAAATAGTACTTGCCTTACAAATAGAAAGGGTTGCTGGGGGCTGAGGGTGGGGGTAGGTGGAGATAAAGTACCAAGCTTAGAGGCTTTGCAAAAGTATCTTTGCCAGAGGATTCCTGGTGGAGATGGTATCTTCTTGGAAAAACAGATCTGACATGCTACCCTGAGTGAGTAGGAAGAGGAGGGTAGATTTAAAGCGTCAAAAAAAAAATTTTGTGTATTTATTTGAAAGGCAGAACAACAGAGAGAGGTAGAGACAGATGGAAACACACACACACACGCACATACACAGATCTTCCATCAGCTGGTTCATTCCCCAAATGGCTGCAACAGTGAGGTCTGGGCTAGGCTAAAGCAAAGAGTGGGTGTCAGGAGCCCAAGTACTTGAGCCATCATCTGTCTTCCCAGGCACATTAACAGGGGGCTGGATCAGAAGCGGGGCAGCTGGGACTGTGAACCGATGCTCTGGATATAGGATGTAGGCATCACAAGTGATGGCTTATGCTGTTGTGCTGTGATGCCAGCATCCCCCCTCCCTTTTTCTTCTCTAAACCCAGGAAGCCATATTTAGGTCCAAAATGGCTTTAGTTTGAGGAATTCCCACAGGTCAGGACTTTAAGAAATATTTATTTGAAATGTAGTCATGCACACAAACTCTCACCTATGTATGCACACATACACAGAGATCTTTCATCTGTTGGTTCACTCCCCAGATTTCTTTATTTTTTTTTTAAAGATTATTTTATTTGAAAGTCAAAGTTACACAGAGAGAGGAGAGGCAGAGAGAGAGAGAGAGAGAGAGAGAGAGAGAGAGAGAGAGGTCTTCCATCCGTTGGTTCAATCCCCAGTTGGCCACAACAGCCGGAGCTGCGCTGATTCAAAGCCAGGAGCCAGGAGCTTTCTCCAAGTCCCCCATGCGGGTTCAGGGGTCCAAGGACTTGGGCCATCTTCTACTGCTTTCCCGGGCCACATCAGAGAGCTAGACAGGAAGTGGAGCAGCTGGGTCTCAAACTAGCGCCCACATGGATGCCAGTGCTTCAGGCCAGGGCGTTAACCCGCTGTGCCACAGTGTCAGCCCCCCCAGATTTCTTTAACAGCCAGGTCTGGACCAGACTGAAACCAGGAGCCCAGACCTCAATCCAAGTTTCTCATGTGGGTGCATTATTTGAAATATCACTTGCTGCCTACCAAGGTTCACATAGTAGTAAGCTGGAATCTGAGGTGGAGCCAGGACTCAAATCAAGGCAATCATATGGGGTGCGGGTGTCCCAAAGGGTATCTTAACAGCTGTGCCAAACACCCACTTCTAAGACATTTTTTCCATTGAGATGAGACAGACATGCAAAGTAAAGAAAATGAGGAGGGGTCAATAGTTTCTTCCTTTGGAGATATTCCTCATTAGAAGATTTTGTTTGCAGGGTTGTGGGAGAGCCCAGAAGGATAACAACTTTATTAAAAGGTTTTTGGTTTGTTCTTTAGTAGTGACCACTGGAGGGTACTGACAGGCAGGGGATGGGAATCTGTCTTTGGGATCCTTTGCTTGCCAAATGTATTGCCATTTTCTCTCCATGATGAAACTGTACTCTATCTAGCTCCCTTTCTTCAACTCACTATACCTGTCTGTCTTCTCCAGGTGGCCAGGCATGATAGAATCTGATCCTGACCTGGGGGAATATTTTCTTTTTGCCTCTCAACTTGATTCCCTGCCGGTAAGTGTCCTGGTGTAGGCTAAAGTAATGAGCAGACCCATCCTAATAGAATTAGAAACAGGCGCAGCCAGTGGACACATGTGGAAGCAGATACTTACATAGGAGAACAAACACAGAGATAAGTGCTCACACATAGAAAGAAACTGGCTTACATATCATTAAATATCCATTGCAAGGACATTTACAGTTTTTTCCCTTCCAATATTTATTTATTTGAAAGGCAGGATTACAGAGAGGCAGAGGCAGAGAGAGAGAAGTCTTCCATTTGTTGGTTCACTCCCCAGATGGCTACAAGGCCAGGTCTGGGTCAGACCGAATCCAGAGCCTCATCTGGGTCTACCATGTGGGTGCAGGGCCCCAGAACTGGGCCGTCCTCTTTTTCCCAGGTGCATCAGCAGAGAGCTGGATCAGCAGTGGAGTAGCCAGAACTTGAACCAGTGACCATATGGGAAGCCGGTGCTGCAGGCAGTGGCTTAACCTGCTACTCTATAGCTCTGGCCCCATTTTGTTTTTGTTTTTGTTTTTAAATATTTATTTATTTGAAATAGTTGCAAGGGAGAAAAAGCGACATCTTTGATCAGCTGGTTTATCTCAAATGGCTGTGATGACTCTGACTGGGCTAGGCTGAAGCCAGGAGCCTGAAACTGCATCTGGGACTCCCACAGGGGTGGCAGGGACACAAATACTTGGGCCATCTTCTGCTTTCCCAGGTGTATTAAGGAGCTGGATCAGAAGTGGGGCAGCCAGAACTAGAACCGGTACTCATATGGGATAGCAGTGTAAGTCAGGCTTCAGGGAGCGTGTGAGGCCCAGTACTGTGGGGAGCAACCCGGACTAGACTAAGTTACTGGAATTAAGACTTATTCTATGCATCTGCTCTCCCACAATATGGTGCTGAGAAGGGAGTAACAACTTCTACGCAGCTGCCTCTCGCCAATTTGATTGACTGAGCTGCAGGAGCTGATCTTGCTCCTGATTGGAGGAGAGCAGCGTACTCGGTGTGTGGGTAGCAGAGTTGGGATTGGTGGAAGAGGACTATAAAGGAGGAGAGAGACAACATGCACCAGGAACATCTAGGGGGAACATCTATCTGAAGGAACACCTGTGCAGCCCCCGAGAGAGCCGGCCGGTGGTGTGCCGCTCCCCCGCGGAAGTGGGGAAGGTGGCGGGGGCACCGCCCTTCCACGGAGGTGGAAGGGACGGTAGCCAACCCGGGAAGAACCAGCAGCAAACCCGGGGAGGGCCGAGCAGACAGAAGAACAGCGCAGGGTCCTGTGTCGTTCCTCCACGAAGACGGGGAGCGACACAGTACTTTCTCTGTGAATCCTGTTTGCCCCCAACCTCCTCTGGTGAGAGGAGAAAAGCATGGAGGACAGGAGCCTTGACAGGACCATCTTTTATTTCAGTCTAAATACCACGTGACATTTTTTGGAGAAACAGTTTCTCGTGCTTGGATCCCTGTCAACATGCTAAAGAATTTCCAGGAGCTGTCCCTGGAGCTAGCAGGAGTGGTGAGCAAACCCGGAGGGTCTGTTGTGACTCAGAACTGGGAAGTGAAAGCTGCCCTTTATTTAACCTGATTTTCTCCCAGAGGAAAGCGTGTGGTTAAAAAGTCCCATGTCTAACCAGGTGTGCCAAGGACAAGGTTATGTGTAAGGGACTGTTCTTTCTACCAGGCTTATGGTGGTATAATGATTCTTTTCCATGTCCTTCTGTGCATGTGAGTAGAGGGCCTCCCTGAAGACTGAGGCTTTTAGAGTTGAGCCAGAGCAAGAGTGGCAGACATGAGGACCCAGGTTAATTGTAGGTTTCTGTTTTAGCGCTGTGGACATTTTGGGCCAGGTGGTCCTTTGTTGTTGGGAGCTGCCCTGCATAATGGTTAGCAGCATTCCTGAGCTCTGCTCACATCTAGCCAGTAACACCTCATACCCCCACCCCGTCCCCTGCCCCAGTTGTGACCAAAAAAAAAGTTGTCTTCAGATATTTCCAGGTGTTTGCTGGGGGATAATCTCTCCTAGATGAAGACCACTGGATTGGTTAACTCGTATTTCTTTCATGTAGTCACTTTGGGTTATACCAGCTTTAAAATGAGCAGAGGCCCAACAGCTCAGGGTCCTTAGGAAATCAAGCAGTGAGTATTAAGTCAAGAATCTGGATCCTAAGAAACGTGAGAGGGGCATTTGGTCTTGCAGTTAAAGTGCCCATGTCCCACACTGGAATGCCTGGTGGCTTCTGCTCCTGATTCCAGCTTCCTGCCAATGCAGGCCCTGGGAGGCAGTGGTGGTGGCTCTTGTAGGGTTCTTGCCACCCATGTGGGAGGAGACTTAGATTGAGCTCCTGGCTTAAGACCCATGTAAAGGCAATTGTGGGCATTTGGGGACTGAATCAAGAATGGGATTTCTGTTTCTGTCTCTTAAAAAAAATAAAACTTGTGAAAGTTTAAAAATGGAGTCACCTGAACCTCAGTCTTCTCAGATTTCTATGGGACTCGCTTTGAAGGCACCAGAAGGTTGGTTGAAATATTTCTAGGTTGGTGTGATGCTTACTGGGGATGGGATGGGGGGAATGGAGGACTGCGACTGGGCTCAAAATATTAAGAAAAGCAGTATTAGATTAATACAGGAACCGGAACTAATTAAAGATAATATTTGTGGGTAGCAATATGTTGGGGTTACTTCGCTAATATTTACTACTAACTCTTTATTATTATTTAATGTTTATGTTTATTTGAAAAAAGAGTAATGGGAGGGAGAAAGGGATATCTGCCATCTACTGGTTTACTCCCCAAATAGCTGCAACTCTGAAGCTGGGAGTTCCCACGTGGGTGGCAGGGAGCAGCTGGGACTCTAAAACACATGCTTTGACATGAGATGCTGTTGTTGCAGGAGGCAGCTTAGTTCATGGCACTGTAACATAGTTACTACTATTTAAAAAAAAAGATTTTTTAAAGATTTATTTATGTCAAGAGCAGAGTTACAGAGAAGAAAGATCTTCTCTGTTCATTCCCCAAATGGCCACAGTGGCTGGAGCTGAGCTGATCTGAAACCAGGAACCAAGAGCTTCTCTGGGTCTCCCACATGGGTGCAGGGGCCCAAGAACTTGGGCCATCCTCTGCTGGTTTCCCAAGTGCATTGGCAGGAAGCTGGATTGGAAGTGGAGCAGCCAGGACTCTAACTGGCGCCCTTATAGGACTGGGACTTTAACCTACTGTGCCACAACACTGGCCCCTTGGCTATTGCATTTCTGATCCAACTCCCTGTTAATGGCCTGGGAAAGCAGTGGGAGATGACCCAAGTGCCTGGGCCACTGGACCCATGTGGGAGACCTGAAAGAGGTTCCTGGTTTTGGACTGGCCCAACTGGAGCTGTCGTGGCCAACTGGGGAGTGAACCAGCAAATGGAAGACCTCTCTGTCTCTCCTTCGCTCTGTAACTCTGCCCTTCAAATAAATAAATCTTTTTTTTAAAGGCAGAGCATAGAGTAAGAGCAAGAGACAGAGATCTTCCATTTGCTGGGTTACTCTGGGTGAAGCTGAAGCCAGGAACCAGGAACTCCATCCTGATATCACACATGGGTCGCAAGCCCAAACATTTGGGCCATCTCCTGCTGTCTTTTTCAGGTGCATTAGCAGAAGCTGGATCAGAAGTGGAGTAGCTGGGACTCAAACTGGTACTCTGATATGGATACCATTGTTGGAAGCGTCAGTTAATCATCTGTGCCACAACACTGGCCCCTTATTACTAATTCTTAACCTTTAAGTCAGTATTTATAGTTGACACTAATCTTCCATTTCAGAAAAAGTGCAGGAACAAGGACTGCAGCCAGAAACTGGAGGCAGCTCTAATGATGGCTCAGCAGGCAGAACAGATCAGCATTCAGGTGGGAAAGTGTTGAGACCACATTCTTGCTCCTCTTAGGTCTCAAGCACAAAACGATCCATCCTCTCAGCACTGCAGGAAACCAGCGTCCTTCACATTATGTGGTTATCTTAGAATTACTCTTCTTCTCAGACCAGATTACCTTGATTCCTTTCTCCACCTGCAGTCTAGTGAGATCCTGTCTTGTCTAGACAGACACAGTTTGTGGTAGGGAGCATCCCATCTCCCTGTTTAACCTCAAGTATCAGGTATATTTGCCCTAACCTTTCTTTCATGCAGAGTCTTTTTTTTTTTAAAAAGATTTTATTTATTTACTTGAGAGGTAGAGTTACAGAGTGAGAGAGACAGACCTCCTCCCAACCACTGGTTCACTTCCCAAATGGTTGCAATGGCCAGAGCTGAGCAGATCTGAAACTGGGAGCCAGGAGCCTCTTCAGGGTCACCCAAGCAGGTGCAGGGGCCCAAACACTTGGACCATTTTCCCCTGCTTTCCCATGCCAAAAGCAGAGAGCTGGATTGGAGGAAGAGCATCAGGGACACTCATATGAGATGTTGGCACCCATATGGGATGCTGGCATCACAGGCAAAGGCCTAGCTTACTACCCCATAGTGCTGGCCCTACAAAGTCAGTTTTTTTTTAACTTGTTTGACAGAGTTATAAACAGTGAGAGAGAGACAGAAAGGTCTTCATTCCATTGGTTCACTCCCCAAAAAGGCCGCCATGGCTGGCGCTGTGCTGATCCGAAGCTAGGAGCCAGGTGCTTCCTCCCAGTCTCCCAAGCGGGTGCAGGGGCCCAAGCACTTGAGCCATCCTCCACCGCCCTCCTGGGCCACAGCAGAGAGCTGGAGTGGAAGAGGAGCAGCCGGGACTAGAACCCGGTGCTCATATGGGATGCTGGCACCGCAGGTGGAGGATTAACCAAGTGAGCCATGGTGCCGGCCTATAAAGTCAGTTTTTTACCCTCAAATTCTGGTGGTGGCATGGAGAATAACAAACAGTGAATTTCTTCTTCCCAATTATTTGTTGAATTATAAATAAACTGGAAAAAGAGCAGAGTTAGTACATATCCATAAAAGTGCAGATAAACCTAATGTGATATTTAAAGAGAAACTAGTATGGGAAATGAATACAAATTTCTTTGTAACTAAAATTTAGAAGACAGAGCCCTTTGGGTAGCAGATGATGCTCTTTATTTCTTGTTTCCCTCAGGAGCGGGTTAACTTGTTTGGTTTCCAGAGCCGATACAATGGATCTGACAGCAGTGGGGAAGGGAAAGGTAGGAGATGCAAAGGATGTAGACTAGAGTGGGCAGCAGGGCTCTTGCAGGCGGGCAGCATCCCCGCTTTCCTTGATTCTGTATTCCATGTTGTCAGCCTCATTCTGGATTCCAAAATAGTAGGCTCTTATGAACGTCATTGACCCAGGATTCAGAATGGATGACAGATGGCTAGAGGGAGGAATGGAGAAAGGAAGAGGGGAGGGGAGGGAGGGTTGTGTGTGAATAGTCATGGACTTTGGAAAGAAACATGGTAATCTGTGGTCACATTTTGTGGAGATACCACTTGGACATTGAAGGCAGATTTAGAAGACACATTCTCGGAAATCAGCTCCATTAACTTATCAACAATTTTATTGGATAAATATTTTAGCCTTTCTTCCCGTTTTCTGTTGCAGACTTAAGGCCCTCTGAGTCTAATAGCCCAGAGTCCTGCTTGGAGAAAGAGGGGGAGGAGGAGTCAGAGATAGAGGAGGAGTCAGAGTCAGAGAAAAAGGTAAGATTAGCCTTAAATATTGGCTTAGGTAGCGTCTGGGAGTTTTCTTCTGGCCAATACTGCGAGGATCTGGTTAGCATGGACTTCTATTTGCTAAGGAAACATCTTGTCTCTGCTTCAGGATAGCCCCCGCTATCTGGTGTCACCTCCTAGGAGTCTCAAGGGAAACAGGCTCCCTTCTGTGCTTATTCTTATTTCTCACATCTGTAGAAGCTTCTTTTTTGATAATCTCAGTGTCTATGATGTTTATTTGGTTCTTCCTAGAACAATTTCAGAAAATAGTTGCTTCTCTACTCCTTTTTCCCTATGTGGACACTTAGGATAAACATTCACTTGTTTTGTTAGTATCTCTTTCCAGGTATATTAAAATATATAAATACACACACAAACACATAAATATATATATAAACTTTTTTCCTGTTTTTTTTTTTTTTTTTTTTTTTTTGACAGGCAGAGTTAGTGAGAGAGAAAGACAGAGAGAAAGGTCTTCCTTTACTGTTGGTTCACCCTACAAGTGGCCATTGCGGCCGGTGTGCTGTGCCGACCCGAAGCCAGGAGCCAGGTGCTTCCTCTTGGTCTCTCATGCGGGTACAGGGCCCAAGGACCTGGGCCATCCTCCACTGCACTCCTGGGCCACATCAGAGAGCTGGACTGGAAGAGAAGCAACCGGGACTAGAACCCAGAGTGCCGGCGCCACAGGCAGAGGATTAGCCTAGTGAGCCACGGCGCCGGCCCCTATATAAACTTTTTTAATTCAACAATTTTTATCTTGCTTGTGTTCTTTTTTTGCCTTTGTTTATGCATAAAGCCTTGCATTGACTAAGACCAAAAGGATGGGGAAGTGGCTGCACACTTTGCACACTTTTATCTGTGTAGTCATAGATTTAAATTGTATCAGGTTCACAGAATCTAATTTGACTCCTCAAAGGCCACTCATGATTCTGAAGCATCCCCCTCTTAAAAATGATTATGTGACTTAATTTATCTTTTTCTAATTTTCTCTCCCATCCTCAGGACCCAACTTTGCCCAGTCCCAAGCAAGCCAAAATACGAACAAAAAATCCCAAATCAAAGGGTAAGCAAGCCAGATGGAAATGGAACATGTCTCACAGTTAAGATGGGGCTGAGGTAGACAGCTTCAGGGGTCTGCAGGTAGCTATACCTTACTGACTGTCTCAGCTCCAAGACCTGAGGAAACAGGAAAGACTGACTGATAGTGTCAGAGGAGGAATTGTGGCCACCTCACTTGAGTGCACTGAATTCTAAAATCTTAGAAAAGATGGAAGGGTTAAAATTAGCCCAGAAGGATGACTTCCTGGAGAACAAGGCTTTGGGGAGAACCAGAAAGAAAAGGAGAAGGTGCAGGGGACAGGATAGAGGGAGAGGTGGAGAGGGAGAGGACAGAGAAGAGAAAGAGAATGGGAAACTAGATGCCACCGAGAGAACTCACTAGATTGAGAATGACTAGAAGATGTGGGGCAGGCAAAGATGAAGTGGAGGGTCCATCTGCCCTTGAGTTAGAAGTTAATGAATTTCTTTCATGGTTGGTTAGTGGAGTTTGTTGCAGGCATGACCAATGGACGAGGTGGGACCCTGCCAAAGAAGACAGTGAAGAGATCTCTAGACAGTGAATGTACAGCTCCTTCTACACCCATAATGCGAGGGGAAGAAGACCAAAGGAATTCAGATCCTGATCAGCCAGGTCAGACTTCAGGCCCATGAAACTGAGAATGAGGTCCTTGTCTACCTCTCCCCTCCCTTGATAGTTTCTTAACAATTCTACAGTTTTTAATTATTTTAAAGAGTAGAAATTAGAATGAAAGGGCAATTCTCAGATTGTACCCAGCACACTCTATGGAAACCCAGTGGTTATTGATTTGATTTGATGTAGGGACAGAGGATGGAAGGGACCAGAGAACTAATGTTCTTTTTTCCTGTTTTTTACTTTTAAAAAACATGTTTATTTTTTATCTACTTGAAAGGCCAAGTGTGTGTGTGTGTGTGTGTGTGTGAGAGAGAGAGAGAGAGAGCGCGTGAGTGTGCAAGTAGGAAAGATTTTTAACTGCTTATGTTTTTCCCCCAAATACCTGCAATAGCTGAGACTGAGCCAGGCTGAAGCCAGGCTGGGTCTCCCACATGGGTGTTAGGAACTGAGACACCTGAGCCATCATTTGCTGCTTCCCAGGACACATTAACAGGAAGCTGGGCTGGAAGTGGAGTAGCTGGAACCAGAACAGGCACCCAAGTATGGGATGTGGGCATCCTAAGTGGCAGTTTAACGCGCTGTATCATAATGCCTACCTCAAGAGAACTAATGTCTATTGAGCTGGCTAGAGACATACTTCTGTGCTTTTTCCTTTTTAATTATTTCAGTAGCTCTGTGACTGGATATTGCCACTTTAAAGATAAGGAAACAGGCCGGCGCCGCGGCTCACTAGGCTAATCCTCCGCCTAGCGGCGCCGGCACACCGGGTTCTAGTCCCGGTCGGGGTGCCGGATTCTGTCCCAGTTGCCCCTCTTCCAGGTCAGCTCTCTGCTGTGGCCAGGGAGTGCAGTGGAGGATGGCCCAAGTGCTTGGGCCCTGCACCCCATGAGAGACCAGGATAAGTACCTGGCTCCTGCCTTCGGATCAGCACGGTGCGCCAGCCGCAGTGCGCTGGCCGCGGCGGCCATTGGAGGGTGAACCAATGGCAAAGGAAGACCTTTCTCTCTCTCTCTCTCTCTCTCACTGTCCACTCTGTCTGTCAAAAAATAAAAAAAAAAGATAAGGAAACAGACTCAAAAGTTTTTTTTTTTTTTCATTATTTGAAATGCAGAGTTAAAGAGAGGCAGAGAGACAGAGAGAAAGTCTTCCATCCACTGGTTGACTCACCAAATGGCCACAGTGGCCAGAGCCAGAAGTCCTCTGGGTCTCCCATGCTGGCGGCAAGGGCCTAAGGACTTGGGCTGTCTTCTGTTGCTTTCCCGGGCCATAACAGAGAGCTGGATTAGAAGTAGAGCAGCTGAGACTTGAACTGGCACCCATATGGGATGCTGGCACTGCAGATGGTGGCATTACCTGCTATGCTATAGTGCCAGCCCCTCAAAGGGTTTAAAATGTGTTCAAGACCTGTGTCAAGCATGTGGCTGATCAATGGCTTGAATCCAGATTTTTCTGACAACCCACATTCTTTGTATTTTGAAAGTCAATCTTTTCAGATATTTCTTAGAAATAGGAATTTAGGAGTTTGACTTATAAAAGGTCAGTATAGACTGACCTAAAAGGACTTTCAACTTTCTCACCTTCTCATTTAGGCCCTAAGAAAAAATTTAAAGCTCCCCAAAGCAAGGCCTCAGCAACCAGTTTGGCTGAGGAAGAAGTTAGAACAGTGCCCAAGGGCCTGACCCCACAAGTGCAACGGAGGGCCTGTCCCTCGCTGGGGAAAAGACCCAGACTCCAGGAGCCAGCAGCTCAGGAGGCTGAAATTCTCCCTCCTGAAGATGAAGTCTCCAGTGACTTGGACCTGGAGCAACTCATGGAAGATACTGGAAAAGAACCAGAAGAGAGAGAGGAGCCTCAGCACAGAGACAGTGAAGAGGAGTTCATGGCCCTCTTTGAGGAGTAGCTGTGCTCTCTTGCCTCCCTGGAGCAGGAGGAAGGTTGTTCAGTGGGGTCCTGAGACATGGACAAATGTTGAGCTGTTAACTGGCTAGAAGGTTCAAGTCATGATCATGCAGTTTGTGTGTTAATAAAGCAGGTTACTGATGCCTTGGGTTTGGTTTGTGTCTAACCACAGGTGGGTTTGGCTCTTTCCCTCTTCTCCCGTGTTCCCCATAGCACATTGTGGTTTCTGGTGTGGACTCTGCACAGTACAGGAGTCTGGGGAGGGCAGCGAGTCCTGGGAGACCCTCACAAAGGGCAGGTCCAGGTTCAGATGCTGGCTCAGCTCCAAGGCCTGTGTGGTCTTGGGAAAAGCCCTTTAGCCACCTAGTTCTTCTTTCCATGCCCCCAGTGAGCACGGCATCCACCTGCGCTTTCTGGTAGTGCCTCAGTGTGGTGACACATGGAGCACATGTCACAATGCTGACAGGGGGAGAGACGATTAGGGTTAGAGCCAGGGCAGGCCTTGGGTTCTGGGAAGACTAGCAGTGTCTAGGGATTTGTGTGCTGTGGCCTGAGGCAGTCGCTGAAGGAAAGTTCTGGAGGAGGGGTTTTGGGTGTGGTCTGTATATTGGAGTTCGTTTTTGGTGGGAGAGACTGAAGTTGAAGGTGGTTCATTTTCTCCTTAGATGTCTTCAGGCAAGTTCTCTGCATATTTATTTTTGTGGGAAATGGCCAAGAAGTTGAAAGAAGGGGCAGTGTCTGTTTGCCTCGGTTCCTTTGTGGCCTTTGACACCTGCTCATGTCTGAGTCATCTATTTGTGGCCTCTGTTGTTGGTGGCAGCAGTGATGCTTCCTCGTGGGTATGTGGTTTCCTCTAAGGATGACATCATTCGGTCCCACTCATTTGGTGTTTAAGACAGAGTACAAGGTCTCTTCTTGGGGGCTGTTATAGGAAGGATGGTGGAGAGGTGCTCCCAGCGAGGTTGGACTGGAGAAGGCAAGGGAGGCATAGGTGATGCTGTCATCCTGGGCAAGAGCAGAACGAGAAAGGATTAGTCTGCAGAGGTGGAGCACCTTACATTCCCTCCACTTAACCTTTTTCAAGATTCCCTTAATCTCCTTCAAACTCCTGAGCAGCTTACCTTGAGGTCGGGTGTGGGTTCTGTAAGTCGTCCTAGAAAAGAAATAAGGTGTGTGGAGATGGTGTGGTGTGACAGCCAGGGTGGAGAGATGGGCAGGGCCCTAGCACTCAAAGGGCTCAGGAAGCACCGAGCACCTTCCTGCTAGGTCAGGATCACACGGGAGGGTTGGGGTGAGGAAGGGTAATGGGGACAGTGTTGCAAGGGGCACCCATGTAGGGAGGTGTTTGGGAGGAAGGAAGGGCTGAGGGCAGACACTAAGGCAGGCCGGGGTGAGGACTTACCTTTATTCCCAGTATTCTCGTATGTCTCCTCAGTGTGTTGTAAGTGTTCCCTGTATGGGAGTGAGAGTGGGAATAGGTAGTCTGGGCAGAGCAGAGGTGAGACACATACAGGGCCTGGCTGTCCTTGCAGGCATCCTGCAACGTGGCCTGGCCTCAGGGTGAGTGCTATGGTTTGGGGCTTTCAGAAGGAGGCTGCCTGGAGGAGGAATCGAGGCAGTGTGTGGAGTGGCCTGGCGGAGGTCCCCCAGTGCTGACTGGAGGTGGATATTCTGGGGAAGCTGCTGGTAGTGGGGAGACAAAAGGGAGGCAGAGGAAGGAAGGGTCAACCCCTGTTCTCTGCCTCTGTGGGCACTGCGTTGGCTAAGCTGGGGGAATGACACCAGGTTCTCTGGGCAGGGACTCAGCCTGGTTCCTGTGCGGAAGAGGGCTGGAGGAGACAGCTGTAAAGACACAGCAGGGAGAGGGGCTTCCAGCAGGGAAAATATGGTGATGGCATGAAGGGGCAGGAGAAAAAGGAGAGGTGGAGGTGAGGAGGACAGGAGAGGTGGGGCTGGCAGAGGACAGGGAGGCAGAGACTGCCAGTGCTTTAGAGAAAAGACAGGCTCAGGAACCGCAGGCAGAGCATGCATGGGTCCCCTGTGAGGTGCACCGTGGGCCAAGGACAGCTTGGGCAGAGAGCAAGAGAGAAGAGGGACAAGTGGAAGAGCGCTGCATCTGGGAAGAGGTTCTGAGAGAGACAGCAGGACGGAGGCTGAGGAAGTCAACAGCCCGGGTTGTCCGAGGGAGAGGACACGGACCTGGTGAGTTGGGGCCTCGAGATGGGCTGTGAATCACGCTGGGGGCTTTGTATAAGGCTGCTAGCTCCCTGTTTCTCAAACCGGGACCCACCCCACCTGTGGGGAGCAACTCGGACTAGACTAAGTTACTGGAATTAAGACTTATTCTATGCATCTGCTCTCCCACAATATGGCGCTGGGAGAGGAGTAAAAACAACTTTTACACAGCTGCCTCCAGTTCAACCAGTAACCTGCAGGAGCTGATCCTGCTCCTGATTGGAGGAGAGCAGCGTACTCGGTGTGTGGGTAGCAGAGTTGGGATTGGTGGAAGAGGACTATAAAGGAGGAGAGAGACAACATGCACCAGGAACATCTAAGTGGAACATCTATCTGAAGGAACACCTGAGCAGCCCCCAAGAGAGCCAGCCGGCGGTGTGCCACTCCCCCGCAGAAGTGGGGAAAGTGGCAGGGGGCACCGCCCTTCCACGGAGGTGGAAGGGACGGCAGCCAACCCGGGAAGAACCAGTAGCAAACCCGGGAAGGGCCGAGCAGACAAAAGAACAGCGCAGGGTCCTGTGTCGTTCCTCCGTGAAGAGGGGGAGCGACACCCACCCACCCCTAGGAGTCCAAGCACTCACCTGGCTGGGGTTTTGGCTGTGGCCGGCCGACCTGTGGGAGGACCAAGGGCGCATCAGTGTCACACGTATGGCCACTCTACCCGCCTTCTCTGCCGTGTCCTGCCCTGAGACTGCTCAGAGGTGCCAGGGCAGCAGTGTAGCTGGGAGCAGCTGGTACCCAGTGGGCACTCTGAGGCCAGACCACACATGTCCTCCCTGCCCCCTCCCCGTGCCCTGCAGAAGCAGCCCCTGTGCTCTCCCTCTGCATGGGGTTTGCACACATGCAGTTGGCTTTTCTGTCACTCAGGCTTCTGTGCCCTCCTAGGGTGTTCCGATGCCACCCCCCACCTGGTCCTGTCTCCTGAAACCCATGCTGTCTCTCCCGTACCCAGTCCCCTGCACGTCCTGCTGAGGGCCTCTGCCACGTGGATGTCCTTTCTACCTCCCTCCTCATCTCGGGGCTCTCCTCATGCACAAAGACAGCCTCTGACCACAGCACTTGCCACTCCCCCAAGTCAAGCCCGTCCACTCCCACTCCTCATCCCGGCCCTGCAACTCATTTCTTTCTTTGAATATAGGACCTGAGAATGTGAAAAATGAAACTCTGCCATTTTCATATTACAGCTTTTCTTTTTTAGCATTCTCCTCTTCCCTCCCTACTTCCTTCTCCCTAAAACTTAAACAGATTTTTTTCGTTTTGTGATAAAAGACCCATAAGTAGAGGGCATTTGTATAGTGCTTAAGCAGCTGCTTGGGATGTCCACCAGTAGTACCAGAGTGCATGGGTTTGAGTCCCAGCTCTTTCCATTCTAGCTTCCTGCTAGAATGCATTTCCTAGGAGGCAGCAGCAAATAGCTCAAGCACAGAATGCCTATTACCCAAGTGGGAGACCTGGATGGAATTCTGGGCTCCTGACTTACACCTGGCCCAGCCTTGGCTGTTGCAGGCACTGAGGGAGTGCACCAGCAGGTAGGCAGTCTCTCTGTACTTCTGTCTCTCCTTTTCAAATAAACATTGTAGAGACACATAGAGGGAAAGATGCTGTGGTGCAGTGGGATGGACGACTGTTGGGGACACCTGCTTCCCATATTGGAGTGCTGGTTTGAATCCTGGCTGCTCTGCTTCCAATCTAGCTTCTTGCTAATGCATCCTGGGAGGCAGCAGCTTGGGTGCTTGGGTCTCTGCTACTCATCTGGGAGACCTGGAAGGAGCTGTGGGCTCCTGGCTTCATCTTGGTCTGGTCCTGGCTGTTGCAGGCACTTGGGGAATAAACCAGTGAATGGAAGATCTTGTTTCTCTCTCTCTTCCTGATAGCAGGAAATCAGTACTTTGCCTTTCAAGCAGATGAAAAAATAAACCTTTTAAAAAAGACACATAGACTACCATCTTAACCATCTCCAAGTGTACAGTTCAGTAATGTTAAGTATATTTATATTGTAATGAAACAGATCTCCAGGACTTTTTCATTTGCAAAACTGACACTCCACCCAATAATTTCCCATTTCTGCCTCCTCCCAACCCATGGCAACCACAATTCTACTTTCCGTTTCTATTAATTTTGCTCAAGCTCCTTACTCAGTGGAATCATACAGTGTTCGCCTTTTTGAGATTTGTTTATTTTATCATACTTAGTATAATGTCTTCAGTGTTCATCCATGTTGGATCAGATGTCAGAATCCTTCCGGGGGCCATGGTGTAGTGGGTAGTGGGTAGAGATGCTGCCTGCAGTGCCAGCCTCCCATATGGGCACTTGGTTTGAGTCCTGGCTGCTCCGCTTCCAATTCAGCTCTCTGCCATGGCCTGGGAAAGCAGACGAATATGGCACAGGTGCTTGGGCCACTGCACCCAGAGACCCAGAGGAAGCTCCTGACTCCTGCCTTCAGATTTGTACAGCTCTGGCCATTGTGGCCATCTGGGGAGTGAGCCAATGGATGGAAGACCTCTCTCTTTCTGCCTTTCCCTCTCTGTGACTCTGCCTTTCAAATAAATAAAAGAATTTCCTTCTTTTTTTTGCCCCCAAAGATATGTTTATTTGAAATGCAGAGCTACAGAGAGGCAGAGAGAGAGAGGCAGAGAGAGAGAGAGAGACAGAGGGAGGTGTCTTCCATCTACTGGCTCACTCCCCAAATGGCCTCAATGGCTGGATCTGGGCTGATCCAAAGCCAGGAGCTTCCTCCAGGTCTCCCATGTGGGTGCAGGGGCCCAAGGACTTGGCCCATCCTCTACTGCTTCCCCAGGCCACAGCAGAGAGCTAGATTGGAGGTGGAGCAGCTGGGACTCAAACTGGCATCGCTTATGGGATACTGGTGCCACAGACGGAGGCCCAGACCACCATGCCACAGTGCTGGCTCCATTTTCTTCTTTTTTACGATGATACTATTTCATTGTATGTGTAAACTCATTCTGTTTATATATTCATCTGTCAGTGGACATTTCAGTTGCTGCCACTCTGGATTGTAACTAATACGGTTTTGAACATGGGTGTACAAACATGGGTGTATGGTTGTACTGTTTTAAAATTTTGAGGAACCTCCATACTGTTTTCTATAACAGCTGTAACTTTTTAATTAAAATTTAATTTTTTGCATTTTTCTTTTTAATTTGAAAATTAGAGGGAGAGACCAGCAGAATCCTCCATCTGTTGATTCACTCCCCAAATGGCCTCAACAGCTAGGGCTGGGCCAGACCCAAGCCAGGAGCTTCTTCCAGATCTCCCATATGGGTGCATGGGCCCAAGCACTTGGGGCATCTTCCACTACTTTCCCAGTTGCGTTGGCAGGGTGCTGGATTGGAAGTGGAGCATCTGAGAGTTGAATTGGCCCCTATATGCGATGCCAGCATTGCAGGCAGTAGCTTAACCCGCTATTCCACAGCACTGGCAATTGCAACTTTTTACATTCACACACTAAGAGTGCATAAAGCTTCTAATTATTTCACAGTCTTGTCAAATCTGTTATTTTCTTTTCTTTTTTTTTTTTAAAGTAGTAGTTATCTTAATGGGTAGTGGTGAATGATTAGTGATGTGGAATATTTTTCATATATTTTCTGACTATACCATCTTTTGAGAAATGTCTATATCTTTCGTCTATTAAAAAGTTTGACGGGCCAGCGCTGTGGTACAGTAGGTTAATCCTCTGCCTGTGACGCCAGCATCCCATGTGGGTGCCGATTCTAGTCCCGGCTGTTATTCTTCCAGTCCAGCTCTCTGTTATGGCCTGGAAAAGCAGTAGAAGATGGCCCAAGTCCTTGGGCCCTTGCACCCGCATGCGAGACCAGGAAGAAGCGCCTGGCTTCGGATCGGCGCAACTCCAGCCATTGCGGCCATTTGGGGAGTGAACCAATGGAAGGAAGACCTTTCTCTCTGTCTCTTCCTCTCCCTGTCTGTAACTCTAACTCTCAGATAAAATAATAATAATCTTTAAAAAAAAGTTTATTTGAGAGGCATACAGACAGGGAGAGGGGAGAGTCTCCATCTGCAAGTTCACTCACCAAATGCCTGTGATGGCCATCTGGGCAGAAGCCAAAGCTATTAGCCAGGAATTCATTCCAGGTCTGCCAGGTGGTGGCAGGAACCAGTCATTGCTACCTCCCAAGATCTGTATTAGGAGGAGGTGTTGTCAAGAGCCAGAGGTGAGTATTGAACCTAAGTACTTTGATATGGGGCCTAGGCATCTCAACTGTGGTCCTAACCCCTCGGCCAAATGTCTGCTCTGTGCACTTTATTTATGAGAGGGAGACAGAATGAGAATGAACAAACATGCCGGCCAGCCCGCATCCGCTGCCTCACTCCCCAGATGCCTGTGCAAGCTGGAGCTGGGCCAGAGATGAAGCTGGAAACTGAGAATTCAGTCCTGGTCTCCTATGGGATGACCGGGACCCAGTTACTTGAGCCATCACCAGCTGTCTCCAAGTGTCTGCGCCTGCAGGAAGTTTTGTTCAGGAGCCAGAGGTGGGCCTTGAACTCAGGCATTCCAGTATGGAATGCAGGCATCCCAGCTGCTAGATCAAACATGCCTCGCTCCCCTTTTTAATCAGGCTATTTGATTTTTGGTTGAATTGTGGAACTCACTATATTCTAGATATTAACCCCTTGGAAAACATTTACAAATATTTTCTCCAACTCTGTAGGTTACCTTTCATTCTGTTGATTGTGTCTTTTGGTGAACTAGAGTGTTTATGTGTGTGGTGTAGCTCTATTGGCCTATCTTTTCCTATAGGGATTGTGTTTTTGGTGTCATCCACAAAAGTAACTGCCAAGTCCAATGTCTTGAGGTTTTTCCTCTCTGTTTTTTCCCCTGGAGGTTTATGATTTGGAGGTCTTATATTTTGTTATGTAATCCATTTGAATTTTATTTCTGGTATAAGATAAGGGGTAATTTTCATTTTTTTAAATTTATTTATTTGAAAGTCAGAGTTACACAGAGAGAAGTCTTCCATCTGCTGGTTTACTCCCCAGTTGACCTCAATGGCCAGAGCTGTGCTGACCCAAAGCCAGAAGCCAGGAGCTTCCTTCAGGTCTCCAACACGGGTGTAGGGGCCCGAGGACTTGGGCCATCTTCTTCTGCTTTCCCAGGATATAGCAGAGAGCTTGATCAGAAGTGGAGCAACTGGGTCTCAAACGGGCTCATATGGGATGCTGGCACTTCAAGCCAGGGCTTTATCCCTCTGTGCCACAGCGCCGGCCCCTCATTCTTTTGTTTATGGATATGTACTTTCCCCAGCACTCTTTGTTGAAGACACTATCCTTTTCCTATAGAGTGGTGTTGGCATTCTTGTTGAAGATTATTGGCCATATAGTCAAGATTTTATGGGCACTTCTGGTATCTCTATTCTATTCCATTGGTCTGTTTGTCTGCAGTATCATGATTTTTTGATTACTGAAACTTTGAAATATGTTTTTGGGAAATAAGGAAGTATGTGTCCAGTACACTTGGCTATTTGGAGTACCTTGAGATTGCATATGACTCATTTCTGCAGGAAAGGCCATTAGGATTTTGATAAGGATTGCATTGATTCTGTGGATTGTTTTGGGTGCAGTGGAACTTTTGACATTAATTCTTCCAATCCCTGAATAAGGGATGTTTTTTCATTCATTTGTATTATTTCTGATATCTTTCAATAGTAGTTTGGCTTTCAGTATACAAGTTCTTCCCCTCCTTGGTTAGTTTTTGTCCTAATTTTTTTAAGATTATTTATTAGAGAGGCAGAGTTACAGAGAGGCAGAGAGAAAGAGAAGTCTTCCATCTGTAGGTTCTCTCCCCAGATGACTGGAGCTGCGCCAATCTGAAGCCAGGAGCCAGGAGCTTCTTCCAGATCTTCCACATGGGCGTGGGAGCCCAAGGGGGTTATCTTCTACTGCTTTCCCTGGCTATAGCAGAGAGCTGGATTGGAAGTAGAGCAGCTGGGACTTGAACCGGTGCCCATATGGGATGCTGGCACTGCAGGCAGCGACTTTATCTGCTACGCCACAGCGCTGGCCCCTATTCTAAGTTTTTTGCATTATTTTATTGTTTGTTTTAATTGTAGACAGACTTGTGATCTTACTTTTCTTTTAAGATTGTTCATGGGTAGTGAGTAGAAATAAAGGCACAATTGAGGTTTTTTTTGTTTGTTGGTTGATTGGTTGGTTTTTGCAAGCAGAGTGAGTGAGACAGAGATAGGGACAGAGAGAAAGGTCTTCCTTTCATTGGCTCACCCCCCAAATGGCCGCCACGGCTGGCATGCTGTGTTGATCTGAAGCTAGGAGACAGATGCTTCCTTCTGGTCTCCCATGCGGGTGGAGGGCCCAAGCACTTGGGCCATCCTCTACTGCCTTCTCTTTATTATGTGAATATTATATTATTTTAGTGATTGTAGCTTAGTAATTGTGAGTGCCAGTGATCACACAGTGCTAACTCTTGGCCATCCAGACGACTCCATGTAGGGGTTGAAGCCCACAGCATCTATCCTGTTGTATCTCAGCTTTGCTGGCTAGGATGTGAAACCAGGGTTCTCCTGCAGGCTGATCAGACTCTTATCTCTTCCCCTTTGTGCTTTAAGTTCTGATGTGACGAATCTCCTTTCTTTGCATGTTTTCTTGAGAGTAATTTCAACTACAGTTGGAGGATATTGGGGCATAAACAATTAATGCTGCTAGTTTGACCTTTGCTTTGAGTGGAAAATGTACACATCCAGTTTTCTGATGGACAAGTCTACTCAGAGACAGGCCAGTGTCTCAAGTGTAATGGATCCCAAACTAGAGGCATCATATTTCCTTTTGACACATGGTCCTCCTCCTCCATTCCCTAATTACTCTCCATTTATGATGGTTTCATCACACCCTCATTCAACCCTGTCGAAACGTGAAACTGCTCCCTCATGGCCACATCAACCTAGTCATCACCTCTGCCTGGTTTTACTGCTTAAGCTTTGCTGGGATCTGCCCCGGCCCCTCCTTACACAGCACCACTGCCTTAGACTGATGTGCCTGCCCACCCCCAGGATCTCCCCCACAGCCTGGTCCCATGTCTGCAGCAGGAACTGGGGCTGCCACGTTGCTGCTTCACCTCATCTCCAGGAACAGAGGCTCGTGGATGTGAATGACAGGGGCTCTTCTCCTCTCTCCTGCTCTGCCTCCAGCGTTGGGATCCCTACAGTCCTAGGAACAGTTTATTCCATCTCTAAGGCCAGTGAGTAGCCTCTTCACTACCCTCACTGCTTCATGTATCATTATTTTCTTTAATTGAATTTTTTTTCATTTATTTATTCAGAAGGCAGAGAGACTGAGACAGAAAGGACAGAGACAGAGTGCTCCCAGCTGTTGGTTCATTCCCCCATATTCCCACAACAGCTGGGTCTGGGCCAGAGCAAAGCCAGTATCTAGGAACTCAACAAGTCTCTTGCATGAGGGTGACAGGAACCCAAGTACTTGGGACCTTACCTGATGTTTTCTAGGGTATGTATTAACAGGAAGCTGGATAGGAAGTGGAGTCATGACATGAACTTAGCCACATCTGTATGGGAGGCAGGTACCCCAAGAGGCATTTCAACCACTGTGGCAAATGTCTATTCCCTTTTTTTTTTATTTTTTCAGACGTTTGGTCCATGTCATTTCCTCTAGGAAGTCCTCCCTGGCTACTTTTCTTGCAACCCTAGCCCTTATCAAATGAGGCCATTCACCCTTAAGATATGTCCCTGGCCGGCGCCGCGGCTCACTAGGCTAATCCTCCGCCTAGCGGCGCCGGCACACCGGGTTCTAGTCCCGGTTGGGGCGCCGGATTCTGTCCCGGTTGCCCCTCTTCCAGGCCGGCCCTCTGCTGTGGCCAGGGAGTGCAGTGGAGGATGGCCCAGGTGCTTGGGCCCTGCACCCCATGGGAGACCAGGAGGAGCACCTGGCTCCTGGCTCCTGCCATCGGATCAGTGCGGTGCGCCGGCCGCAGCGCGCCAGCCGCGGCGGCCATTGGAGGGTGAACCAGCGGCAAGGGAGGACCTTTCTCTCTGTCTCTCTCTCTCACTGTCCACTCTGCCTGTCAAAAAAAAAAAAAAAAAAAAAAAAAAAAAGATATGTCCCTCCACCAGCTGAGTTCTTGAAGGCAATGTATGCTTCATTTACTTTTGTATCCTTGATTTCAAACCAGATCTAGCAGGTGGCAATCATCCAGTGCTTGCAGAGCTGAGCTAACTTATTATTATTATTATTATTTTGACAGGCAGAGTGGACATTGAGAGAGACAGACAGAAAGGCCTTCCTTTTGCCGTTGGTTCATCCTCCAATGGCCGCCATGACCAGCGCACCGCGCTGATCCGAAGCCAGGAGGCAGGTACTTATCCTGGTCTCCCATGGGGTGCAGGGCCTAAGCACTTGGGCTATCCTCCACTGCACTCCCTGGCCACAGCAGAGAGCTGGCCTGGAAGAGGGGCAACCAGGACAGAATCCGGAGCCCCGACCGGGACTGGAAGCCGGTGTGCCGGTGCTGCAGGCAGAGGATTATCCTATTGAGCCGCGGCGCCGGCCTGAGCCAACTTCTTGTCCCTTCTGCTGTCTCCTCACTTTCCCAGGGCAGGACCCTCCCTCCTTCCAACCATGAGACAAGGGGGAGGATGGAGGAGAAATGACTGAGGCAGGAGGAATGTGGAAAGTGATCAGATTGTGTGGAGAGGGATGGATGGTTCTCTACTTACATCTTCCCAAACCTCACTTGAGGAGCCTGTGACAGATGCAGGTCACCAAGCACAGACCTCAGGGCCTGATTTGGTGAGTTTTAAGGGAGCCCCGCCAGGCCCTGCAATTTTCAGGACTCTGATGCAGGTGGGTGTTGAGAAACTTGCCATTGGGCAGCTTGGGGGAGAATGGGTGCTTGTCTACTCACCTTTCGTTTTCTTCCACCTGAGAAAGACCAGCAGTCCCAAAATCGCAATTATGAGCACAGTAGTGGCCACTGCCAGCCCGACTGCAGCTTCCAGACTCAGAGGCTGTGACTCCGGGCTCCCTCTGCCTTCTGTGACCCTGAGGCCTGCTGTGGTGGCTGCAGTGGAGGCTATGTTGGTGGGTCTCCGAGTGGTGGTCTTGGTGGCTGGGGAGATGAGACATTAGCATTAAATGCTTTGGTGGGATGGGCACCTGGGTGGAAGTGTTGCATTGTGTTCCCAGTTGTGGAGGAACAGTGAAGCCAGGGAGCTGCTTTAAGAAGCTGCACAATGGGCCAGCGCCGCGGCTCACTAGGCTAATCCTCTGCCTAGCGGCGCTGGCACACCGGGTTCTAGTCCCGGTTGGGGCGCCGGATTCTGTCCCGGTTGCCCCTCTTCCAGGCCAGCTCTCTGCTGTGGCCAGGGAGTGCAGTGGAGGATGGCCCAAGTACTTGGGCCCTGCACCCCATGGGAGACCAGGAGAAGTACCTGGCTCCTGCCTTCGGATCAGCGCGGTGCGCCGGCCACAGTGGCCATTGGAGGGTGAACCAACGGCAAAAGGAAGACCTTTCTCTCTGTCTCTCTCTCTCACTGTCCACTCTGCCTGTCAAAAAAAAAAAAAAAAAAAAGCTGCACAAGGAAGGGAGGAACATGGTGTAGTGTCAAGGGTTAGAATCCACATTGCTCAGCTTCCATCCAGATGCTATACCACACCTCAACCTCATCTTTCCCTTACAAACAGGAGAACGGAATCACATGCTAAAAGCACTTTGTTATTGCTGACAATATATATTACACAAAGTGTGTTTTCAGACATATTAAGCCAAGAGGCATTAAGTACATTCATGTTGTTGTGCAATCATGATCTCCTTCCATCCAAAGAACTTTTTCTTTTTCTTTTTTATTTTTGACAGGCAGAGTTAGAGAGAGAGAGAAAGGTCTTTCTTCCATTGCTTCACCCACTAAATTGCTGCTACAGCTGGTGCGCTGCGCCGATCCGAAGCCAGGAGTCAGGTGCTTCCTCCTGGTCTTCCATGGGGTGCAGGGCCCAAGCACTTGGGCCATCTTCCACTGCCTTCCAGGGCCACAGTAGAGAGCTGGACTGGAAGAGGAGCAACTGGGAAAGAATGCAGTGCCCCAACCAGGACTAGAACCCAGAGTGCTGGTGCTGCAGGTGGAGGATTAGCCTAGTGAGCCGCAGTGCCGGCCTTCAACAGAACTTTTTCAATGTCTGGGATGAAAGGTGAAGCCAGTCAACCACAGCTCTCCATTCTCTGCTCCCCAAAACCCTGACACCCACCAGGCTGCTTTCATCTCTGAACCTGACCACTCAGGGACCTGTGTAGGTAGACTTGGTGCACAGGCAGTTGTTTTACAGGACTTTTTTTTTTTTTTTAAGATTTATTTGAAAGGCAGAGAAACAGGCAGAGAGAGAGAGATCAATCGATCGATCGATTGATCTTCCATCTGCTGGTTCACTCCCCAGGTGGCTGCAACGGCCAGAGTTGCTACGATCTGGAGCCAGGAGCCAGGAGCCAGGGGCTTCTTCTGGGTCTCCCACATGGGTGCAGGGGCCCAAGGACTCGAGCCATCCTCCACTGCTTTCCCAGGCCATAGCAGAGAGCTGGATTGGAAGTGGAGCATCTGGGACTTGAACCGGCGCCCATGTGGGATGCTGGCACTGGAGGCAGTGGTTTTACCTGCTAAGCCACAACGCCAGCTCTTCCAGGGCTGTTTTAATAAGTGGGAAAAGGCCCATGAACACACATAGTTTATATCAGAAACGTGATTTAAAAGCTACTACAAATAGTTAATACCTCCTTTGTAGAGATGTTTAATGTACCAGTAAAAAACTAACATAACAGCTACAGGAAAAAATTTACCTTTAGATTATTGTGAACCAAATTTTATGTCTACTCTTACTAGAAATAGTAAACATCATCTCTCAATAGAGCATTTAAAATTTTGAAGTTAGTAAAAAATTTATAGTTACTTGCTATTTAGAAAATAAAAACAAGGAGTCTGCATGCATTGTGTCATAGCAGGTAAAGCTGCCACCTGTGACTCTAGTGTTGTTGTTTGTTTTGTTAGGTTTATTTATTGATTTGAAAGGCAGTTATAAGCCGGCACTGCGGCTCACTAGGCTAATCCTCCGCCTTGTGGCACCGGCACACCGGCTTCTAATCCCGGGTGGGCACTGGATTCTGTCCTGGTTGCCCCTCTTCAAGGCCAGCTCTCTGCTGTGGCCAGGGAGTGCAGTGGAGGATGGCTCAAGTGCTTGGGTCCTGCACCCCATGGGAGACCAGGATAAGTACCTGGCTCCTGCCATCGGATCAGCGCGGTGCGCTGCCCGCAGTGTGCCGGCCACGGCGGCCATTGGAGGGTGAACCAATGGCAAAGGAAGACCTTTCTCTCTGTCTTTTTCTCTGTCCACTAGCCTGTCAAAAAAATAATAATAATTTTAAAAAAGGCAGTTATAGAGAGGCAGAGGGAGGGAAAAACAATTCTTTCATCTGCTGGTTCACTCCTCAAATGAATACAACGGCTAGTTTTGGGTCAATCCAAAGCCAGAGCTTCTTCCGGGTCTCCAACAAAGGCACAGGGGCCCAAGCACTTGGGTCATCCTCCACTGCTTTCCCAGGCTATAGAAGAGAGCTGGATCAGAAGTGGAGCTGACAGAACTTGAATCGGCATCCATATTGGATGCAGGGACTGCAGGCGCTGATTTTACCCATTACACCACAGTGCCAGCCCTTCTCTGCTTCTGATCCAACTTCCTGCTGATGCATACCTTGGAGGAAGAGGTCATAGATCAATTACTTGGGTCCCTGTCACTCAAGTGGGAGACCCCAATTGAGTTTCAGGCTCTTGAATTTAGGCTGGCCCAGCCCTAGCTGTTGCAGGTTTTTAGGGGGATTGAACCAGCACATAAGGTCTCTCTGTCCCTCTCTCCATGTTTCAAATAAATAAAAATTTAAAGGAAAGATAATACCCAGAGAGAAGTTACCATACTGTAGAAAAATATGGAAAATTCTGCAATTCTAATCCATTTCATAAAATGATACCATAATCCTGATAACACTCAAAATTTTTTGAAATGCAGATTAAGACATGAATCTTTAAAAAAATGGCCTGAGTGAAGGAAAATATCCAGTATTGGCAAGGACTTAGGGTAAGAAACTCTCATACAATAGAAGTAATACGGCACAGCCTTTGAGAGTACAGTTTGAGAACATGTATCGAAAAGTAAGAGACCCATTACTTTGTCCCAGTAATTCTAGCGCTAGGAATTTCTCCTGCTTGCCAAGTATTGAAGTGTTCTTTGCAGCTTTGTGTTGCAGCAACAACCTAAATGTCTGTATTTATTTCAGGGGTGGTGGGTTTTTTGTTTTAGTGTTTCTTTATTACAGTTACTTGAAAGAGTGGCAGAGAGACAGAGACAGACTTCCATCAGCTGGTTCACTCCCCAAATGCTTACAATGTCCTGTGCTTAGCAAAAGCCAGGAGCCTGTAACTCCATCTGGGTCTCCCCCAAGAATGGCAGGGATTATTTGAGACAGCATCTGCTGCCTGTCAGGATGCGTTAACAGGAAGCTGGATTGGCAGTAGGGGAGACCAAATTTGATGAACTGGCATTCTGATATATGTGGGTATCCCAAGCAGTGGCTTAAGCCATTGTGCCACAGTGCCTGCCCCAATGTCTTTAGATAGAAGACTGATTAAATAAGTTATGATGCATCTTCCCATGGGATACCATGCATTCATTTAAGAAAAGGAGTAGCTTTCATGAAAAGATATTTGAGATATATTAAAAATAACAATTTGGAAATTACAGAACAGTATATAGTTTGATCGTATGTATGCCATATCTGTAAGATCATTTCCACAGAAAGCAGGAGTAATGACCGGAGAGAGTGAGTGGGCTGGGGTAGAGGGGCTGTTACTTGTCATTTAACTTCCTTCCGTATTGTTTGAATGTTTGTTTTTACCATGTGTAGAGGTTAGCAGTACCATTGTTAGTTTCAGAATATAGCAGTTACTTGTTTTGCGGTTGTATAGCATGTCATTTAGAGCGAACAAATTACACATAGCTTATGGAAAACCGAGGGCCCCTGCATGTGACTCCTCACTCCCTTCCCACTCCTGGAGGGCAGCTATTTTCAGCTCCTTTAGTTATTTCTTCGGTATTACTTCCTTTTTTTAAATAGCAGGCGTATATTGCTGTTGCTCGATTTGGTTGTCTTACAGAATTGTCTGTTCACTTCCTACTGTTGAAATTGAGGATGTAGATATCTCAACATCCTCATTTTCTTCATTTGACTCAACTTTACAACATCAGCTATTTCCCTTTGGTGAAGTGAGTTCTTCACTTGGTTTCTAGTGTATCACCCTCTCTTGATTCCTCTACCTCTCCCGCAGCTTCTTCTAGTCTTTGCTTATTCTTCACTTCTACAACCACTGTCGTCAGGACTCAGTCCTAGGACCTCCTTTCTGCCTATATTTATTCCTATGTGATCTCTACAGTCCCCTGACGTCAGAGGTAAGTGATATCATGATGACTTCCCAACCTGTGTATCTCGCCAACGTTACCCCTACACTGCACACTCGTAGATCTTACTGCTTACTCAGGCTCCACGTGTATCTCAAGTAACATCTCACCAAGACAGAACTAACTCTCGAGTTCTCCCAAGCCTGTTCCTCCCCCTTTGCTTCCCCTCCATAAATGGCAAGTCCATCTTTTCAGGTGCTCAGGCCAAAGTCATTAGAGTCCTCCTCGGTTCTTCTCTCTCTTTCTCACCCTACATCCAGTCCATCTGCAAATCCTGGCTGCTTTGCTTTTATTTATTTATTTATTTTTTTGACAGGCAGAGTGGACAGTGAGAGAGAGAGAGAGAGAAAGGTCTTCCTTTTGCTGTTGGTCCACCCTCCAATGGCCGCCGTGGTCGGCACACTGCAGCCGGTGCACTGCGCTGATCCGATGGCAGGAGCCAGGTATTTCTCCTGGTCTCCCATGGGGTGCAGGGCCCAAGCACTTGGGCCATCCTCCACTGCACTCCCTGGCCACAGCAGAGAGCTGGCCTGGAAGAGGGACAACCGGGACAGAATCCGGCGCCCCGACCGGGACTAGAACCCGGTGTGCTGGCACCGCAAGGTGGAGGATTAGCCT